GATGATGATGATGATGATGATGATGATGATGATGATGATGATGATGATGATGATGATGATGATGATGATGATGATGATGATGATGATGATGATGATGGAGAACGAAAGGAACGAAAAGAACGAAACAAACAGAACAAACAAGCACGACCGTTTTGCTTCCGCCCTAGTCCTGACTTCGTTAGATCATAGAAGATAAGTTGGACGCCTCAGGCAGTCAGGTGTGAATGAAGTAAGGCTGTCGGCGATCATTGCAAGTACTTCCTTCCTATCCATCTTGTCACTCGATCTTGTTGTTGATTGTTCCTTTCATCGAGGTCATTGCTTGAATTCTTTGGATGCTTGGACGCTTGGATGCTTCTGGTTGTGCTCTGCAGGCTACGGTGCCAAAAATATATACATAACTGTGCTTTCCCGCTTCCACCGGGCTCGGAAGTCTACTTGTCTATCAGTCAATACTAGTAACTTGATCGCTCAACTATCGCACTTCTCGCCGAGATACTGAGTATGAGTATCTGACAGCATGCTAAAAGGGATTTGGATCTAGTAAACCTTTGCAAAGCCGAGCTCGCCAGTAAAGATACTCGCCTTTGATCACATGATTGTATTCCTCCATTCTGTCCGTTCTTTCCGCTTCCCCATGTGATCTCCCGTCTCCCTCAGCTCTCCTCTCCACTGCCTAATCCTCTCTCGACATCTCTCTCTCTCCTCCTCCCCCTTCCCCTCCCCCCCTCGGCTATAAACAACATGGAAATGATAAGACACCCTCGTCTAAACTACCCCTGGCAGTGATTAATTGGAGGTCTCGTTCACTTATCTTCTTATCCTCCCTGCCAAGAGCAGCTCGACCACGTGTGCTTGGCACCCTGAGCAAGTCATGATAAGCACACAAACAGAAAGATATCGGCAGTGCGGCACCCTCGTCTGTTATCTCGCCCTCCACCCAGAATCAGGTCCAGCTACGTCAGGGATGATCCTACACAACTCCTCCCATCCCGCCAATTTGTTCTACCCCGCGCGGGGCCCATTCGCCTCTCGACTCTACCCGGCAAATCCAGCCGGAGATATCGATAACGGTCTCCCAGTGAAAGGGACCCCACCCCCCGACACTGGGAGAATGAGTGACCCGCAGCCTCGCTTAGAGGAACCGAGACAGGGACTAAACTCCACACCGTCATGTCACCACAAAGGCGCGCCTTAATCGAAGACCGACGATACAGATACAGGCCTGGTTTTGTTGTGTCACGAATTGAGAGGGACAGGCTCAACTGATAACGGGCGGTGGCAGCCAGCTCAGATCATGCCCGCGGAAGAGGTATAAAGCCTCAGGCGCTGGGGTTGGGACCATGGACATCGAGCAGCAGAGCACAACAACTCTTTCCATAGTTTGGCTGGACACAGTGGAAGATGACAAGGTATCTCAGACAATTGCTGCTAAGCTTAGCAGTTGCGAGCCTCGGGGATGCTGGGATTACACGGAGAGAGGTCGATGGCGACCTCGTACGATTCGGAGACTTGGTGGACGTCACCGCAGACTCCCTGCACAACATCCATTTGGAATTCCTCGACCACGAATTCGAAGGTCCCCTGCGAGTTGTGTATGGAGACTGCAACCTCCGCGACCCCTACCAGAGCCACCACGATATCACCAGCGTGTTTGTGCAACGAGATGCCCGCCCCGGGCGACTAGTCTGGATCACTCCGTCTGACGCTCCTCATCTACACTGCCTGCATGCATTCTCGGGCAACTCTCTGGTCGGCCGCTCTGCGCCCGTCTCAATTGCCAAGCGCGTCGACAAACGAGAAAGCATCGCCGATGTTGCCGACATGGAGGGCCCCTGGTTTGATGGGGTCGCATACATGAAGTCGAATAGTGAGGATGCATCGCTGGTCGCCAAAGCTAAGAACACGTCGGTCGCTATCCTCGGAGGCGGGATGTCTGGCCTGATGACAAGCTTGCTCCTCGAGTCGGTCGGGATCCATGACTGGCACATCTTCGAATCCTCGGGCAGAATCGGCGGCCGCATTCGCACCAAATACCTCAACAACACGCGGCCCGATCAGTACCAGTACCAAGAGATGGGTCCCATGCGATTCCCTGTCAGCATTACCTACTCCGACACGAACGAGACGCTTGAGATCATGGACCACCGGATGGTTTTTCAACTGGCGGGGGTCCTAAACCAGATGAACGTCGACGAGCCTGAGCTACAGGTCAACTTCATCCCATGGCACCAGAGCACCCCCAATGTGCCCGCCGACTCGGGTGGGGTTCGTCTCCCCGACGGCCGCATCCCCACCGCCGCCGACGTCGCGGCCAACTCCTCCTTAGTCTACACGGCGGCCTCGTCAAATGCCACCGCTGTCGCCGATGCAAAGGCCGCCTACGATAATTACACGACGATCGATTCGCGCGAGACCATCGCCCAGATCGCCACGAACATGTACAAGATGCACCGCTGGGCCGTGGACAACAACATGTTTCACTGGTCCGAGGCCGGATACCTGCAATACGCTCTTGGATATAATGCCAACATCAGCGATTACGTCGCCGGCACCACCGACTTTCCCATTTGGGGGGACCTGTATGACGACGTGTATTTTGCTGCCACGGAATGGCGCACCATCGATAAGGGTCTCGAGTCCCTGCCTCGCGCCTTCTACCCGCACGTCTCGGACCGACTGACGCTGAACCGCACGATCAGCGGACTCACGTACAATGAAACCTCCGGCAAAATTGGAGTCTCCTGGCGGGATGATCTATTTGCAATGACGCCCACGACGCAGGAGTATGATTACGCCGTCGTGGCCGCGCCCTTCAGCAAAGTACGACTCTGGGAACTGCCGCGGTACTCTTCGTTGCTCAGTCGCGCCATCTCGACATTGAACTACGATCCGGCCTGTAAGATGGCGCTGCTCTACAAGACTCGCTTCTGGGAGCACTTGGAGGAGCCGATCTACGGTGGCTGCGGCTCGGTCGATGTAGCCGGGGTGGGCAACGTCTGTTACCCGTCTTACAACCTCAACGGCACCGGGCCGGGCGTCATCCTGGCTTCGTACATCTCCGGCACGGAGGCGCGCTCCACCGCAGCGCTGAGCGAGGAAGAGCACGTCGCGCTTGTTCAGCGGACCATGGTGGAGGTTCATGGCGAGGTCGCGGCAGAGCAATTCACCGGCATCTACGACCGCCAATGTTGGGAGGTCGATCAGCACCAGGCGGGTGCATGGGCGGATCCGTTGGTTGGACAGCAGGAACTGTACCTCCCAGCCTACTACCAGACGGAGCTCAAGACGATCTTTATCGGCGAGCATACAAGTTATACCCATGCGTGGATCTTTTCTGCCTTAGACTCGGCTGTTCGTGGCACGACGCAGTTGCTGCTGGATCTGGGACTGGTGGATGAGGCCAAGTCAATTGTGAATGAGTGGATGGGTCGGTGGATTAAGCTGTAAAGAGGGCTAAATCATAGTTGGGACTGTTGTGTATGCCCTTGTATGTTCCAGCGTATACTCGTGCAATGTCCAAGTCTGTCATGACTGCACGATGAAGATAATACGTACTTTGTAGATCTGGCCCATGTTCAGGTTGTAAATAGACTAGCGAGAGCCTCACCAGTGGCACAGGTGTCTGTGCGGGATAGTTAATACGAAAACACCAGCCATTCAGTCAATAAATTCCCACTGGAAAGTACACATCTCCCCCCATTTAAGAGAGAACTCGACTGCTTATGGCCTAACTGCCTCCTCAATTGAGTCACTTTCTGTGTCATGTGTGGGCCCCCAACAACAACCGCGCAGCCACAATGCAAAATCGGCTCTAGCCTAACTTGAGTGAGTCAAACACGGTGTTCACTGTTAGGTAGCCTTAGTATTGCATTACTAATGCCGTCAGTCTCTTCCTGAATTGATTAGGCCGTCTGGTAGCCTCTGGCTATACATAAAAGTGCAACCAACCCGCTCAGTCTTTTCCCATTGAGTTCCCTTCCTCTCCCACATTAACCCTAACTACGTACCCTCCAACCTCACCCCCCACCACCACAATGTCTGCTATTCACAAAGTCGCCATCTTCGGAGTCCGTCTTATACCATCGTCCTCTCCCCAGCCCTAAACCACTGACCTCACCCACAGGCATCCGGCAACTTTGGCACCCCAATCACAGCAGCCCTGCAACGTGCCCCAGCCTTCGCCATCACCATCATCACCCGCCCCGAATCCACCTCCACATTCCCACCGGGCCTGCCCGTCATCCGGACGCCTTACACCCTCGTCGACCTAACTGCCGCCCTGACAGGCCAAGACGCCGCCGTCTGCGTCGTCGGGCCCGGCGGCATTCCCGCACAAGCCACCATGGTCGAGGCGGCTGCAGCTGCCGGCGTGCAACGGTTTATCATCGACGATTTCGGCTGGGGACACAATCCTCACAGCCTGCCAGAGTTCAGCGCCATCCATGCGCAGCGCCGCGTGGGGTGGGACCTGGCGCAACAAAAGGCGCGGGAGAACCCCGGGTTCACGTTTACGGGGATCACGACGGGGAATCCGATTGATTGGGTACGTTGGACGTTCCTTGTGCTTATCCTGTTGGGTGGGAGGATTAATATGCTGATCTTTATCATTTGTTTCTTGGTTTGGTACAGGCAATGAGAAAGTTCCCCATGATGGGCTTCGACAGCGCCCACGAGGCGGCTATCATCTACGACTCGGGCACGGAGAAGTTCACCGGCACGACTCTGGCAGGGATCGGACAGGCGGTGGTCGGGGTGTTGCTGCATCCGGAGGAGACGGCGAATCGCTTCGTCAAGGTCCTGTCGATTGTCACCAGCCAGAATGAGTTGTTGGAGGCTTTCCAGCGGGCTACAGGCCGGCAGTGGACGGTGGAGCGCGACTCGGCGCAGCGGTTAATGGAAAGCGGACACCGGAAGTTTGAGGGGGGAAATGGCATGTGGAGGCTGGAGTTGGTGGTCGCACAGATGTTCGATGAAGGGCAGGCCCGGTGTGTCGTGGCGCCTTCGTGGTCGGAATCGGACTCGCCCTTGTTGGGGGTGGCAGAAGAGAGTGCAGATGAGGTGGTGGCTAAGGTGTTGCAGGTGTAGAGTGGAATAGGAAAAATTCAATCATAGGGTGCTTCATGGATGTTCATTTTTCAAGTGCTATCTACGTACTTCGTACCTTGATTCCGATGATGCCCTTTCACCCCCACCACTCGGGGATACATCGATTGAACTTTAGAGTTCATGCGAGACGAGTCCACGAATGAGATATCAAGATACTGGAAACTCTAGAGAATCTAGACTCTGGGCGTGGGTGTGAGTGGAGGCCATTCATGGTGGCGTGGGGGCTAAGACGTCCTGGCCTGCCCTAAGTGGGTCATCCGTGGAGCTCTCATCTCGTTCTGATGTACTCATATGTACAGACAGTACAGTACAGAGGGTATGTTGGGTACTTAGGCTAAAGCAAAGCTGAGATTACTGTCTCAGATAAAAGACATAATGGTGTTAACTTCATCGGACTGAACTGTTGACCTGGAAGGTGAAGGGGACTGGACTGGAAGCCCTGGTAAGACGCAAATTTCCCTTCCTCAGCCACCCTCACCTTGATGAACCTTTCCTTCCACCTCGTTATTTCAAGTAGCTGAACTTGAACCAGTAATACTCAGTCTCTTGGTAGGAGTCGGTATGTGTACCGATGCAACCCTCTGGACTGTGCAGCCACGCCGCCTCCCGGATATTGTTACCTTCCTTGTCGGTCAGCAGAATGTAGACCTCGTCCCCCTCCTGCACGTACTCAGATTTATTCCCTGCTTTGGTGCTAGCAAAATGGAAGGTTGTGGCATTCTCCCGCCTGCCGGCCCATATCAGGGAGGTGTTTAGATACCCCTAAAGAACGGGGCTGGCGCCGAGCCAGACGTCCTCCTCTCCCTGGTTGCAAATGCGATAGGCGTATCTATACTTGATCTGATTCTTGCTGTTGGTCTCGGTGCTCTCGACATTGATTTACAGCTTCTGCCTGGTGTTGGACCTGCTGTTCGTCTTGACCTCCAGCGGGACCCCTCGGCGATGGCCTCAGATAGCTCGTTCAGGTATTTACGGTGTTCTTCGGTAATCACGTTGGTCTTGGTGCGCTTGAAAATCTCTTGCCCTGTGAAGGTGATCATACATCATACACATATTAGCCTAGGCACTTGAAATCCAATAGGATGACAAGAAGGAAGGACTTCGCCAAGTACGGTACCGCGGTCCCTGTTCGCTTGGCTTGTTGGTGACCGTCTTCCCATGCCACCGGTGAGTTAACTTGAACTTGACCGCAACCTGAGAGCTGGTCGGTTAGGTCTAACTGCCGGTGCGGAGAATGTCCGCGAATTTCTGCTTGATATTCTGGTACCCTGGGATGCTAGCAATGACATCTTCGAGGGCAAGCGCTCGGGATTGCTGTGGTGTAGCCATTTAGATAGGTCCTATTCATAATGAAGTGAAAAGGAATGGGGCTCCTTACCTCGACAGCTCGGCAGCCTTTGGCTTCGAAGCCACGGGCAGATCGGGGGTCTTCTTCTGTTGAAAAGGGTCAGGCGTGATGCTAAAAGGCATGTGTGTCGCGAGGTGCCAATGTACGTATATCAATGCTGGCCCTCACCCCGCGATCAAAGAGGCTGCGCGCGTAGTCATGGTGAATGAGCTTCTCCGACTTGAGATAGACTCGATAGGCGTCACTGTTGTCTTCGGCAATATCCTTGCTGGAGATCAATACATAGTCACAGTAAAGCTTTATCGGATGCAAACATACCCCAACCTCGCTAGATTATCTCCAGGGTTAGTTGAAATTTACGTGGGCACTGGAAGGAGGGGGTTGTTACTCACTTTCTCGTTCAGGATGGCAAGGTATGCATTGAATTCGGTGGAGTCCAAGACCTTGGCCCCACGCTGGTTGCAGAAGGAGCTCCAGAGCCTGTAGAACGAAAGTGAGTGGACTTGCTTGCCTGTATCTCGGTGCAGGCCCTTGCAATGTCGGCGCCAAGGCCTTTTCGCTAACTAGGAGGTCTCGGATATCGGACAATTTGATTTTGTTCACGTCAAGTCTCTTGAAAGAGATACATGATTTCTCCTCGATGGCTCTGGTATGGTCACTGAAACATGGAGGACTTGTTGTGGCTGACTGGCAAGACCTGACTGAGGTTAGCACGTGCGAGAGGTCTATATGATGGACGCCAGGGGCTAAGTGAAGAAACGAACCCGCGAGCAGTTGCTCCACTGCCTTGCTAAAATCAATCACTGTAGTGGTCGGGTCTTGCACGGCTTCTTTGACTGCGCCCTGGACCGCCTCTTGCACTGGGCTCTTCAACAAAGAGCTCATCTTGGTGGGGAAGGCTTTGATGTGGCTATCGCTGTAATTGATTTTCTTTGGATGTCTGATGCTTATTGTTAAAGGCAGGTTCTTGAGACTGGGAGAACGAGGACAGTTTTATAAGGGGGTCCATCTATGTGCTTCCGTGAGATATCGAGCAGTGATAAATTGGGTGGAAGAAGTCCTATTCAGCGAGGAGGCATGACTTGAAATGGCGTGAGCGAAAGGTCAATTATTCTGGTCAACATCAACTGTACTGCGTCTGAAGAAGTAGGTTGAGACGTCATCATGCAGTTGGAAAGGTGAGGAAACAGGTTAGGATGTCTCGCAGGCCCATTCGGATGAGGGGATTAAGGGTAGCACAAGCCACTGTTCCTTCACAATACATCCCTCCCCGCGCAGCAAAAAAAAAGGAAACAATCAGACAAGCCTGTTAGTGAAGGGGTAAATTGACCGATTTTGCGGATGGTCCCCGAAGTTGCGCTGGTCTGGGCTCTGGCTCTTGATGGCTGATGCTCTGTGAAGCGGGCCGCTACGGCCCTTGCCTGCCTGCATTAACGGCCTCCACTCGAGCAACAGTCCAGTATAAGTCGCCAGCTTGTCTCAAAACCCCGCATGTAATCTATTTGGTTTGCGTTGGAGTGAAAGTTGGTTGTGACGGAGAACGTGCCCATAGGTACTCCGCGGTGAGATGAGAGGGGGTGGTGCATATGCACATCCTTTCCTCAATCTTGGTCCAACCATCCGATTGAATGCCGAGCCCGCAGATCGGAGAGATTGGAAGAGATGGAGAAGAGGGGGGAAGCTCAGGTGAGGTGAAAGATGACTAGATTCCAGGGAAGAGCATCATATTAAGGTAATAAGTAGCCTCATAGATAAAGTCTAGGAAAAACGAGATTCTCATGCTAACAGGTATCACGGATCTGGAATGGGATAATGGTACGCCAATAGTAACTCCGCATCAACTTGAGAGCGAGTAAACGTGCCCACCATTGGTAACTTCGAGAGACTGGCTCAAGAGGCTGGGGGGCACTGTCGGACTGCTTCACGCTCTCTCCAGCATCCTCGGGGTCTAACCAGAGTGTGCGCCAGCGCTGACGTGCCCCAAGTCGGCGCGTCAGGTCTTGTAGTCGAGGATCGTGGATTGACACCTTGGTCAATAAGCAGGCTCACAGTCATTGAGCAGGAGGGATGTAAAGTCTCTCAAAGTATGGTCCTCCTTGGATCCGGTAGAGAACTGGTCTATTTCCGCCTGGTTCTCAAGCATTCTGCGCAAAGAGTTCCGGCTACATGTGTCCGCAATCCTCTGAATACTCTGTGGGGAACACGTGTGGGTGAAAAAGGAGTAGAGGTATGGACTATTAGCGAGGTCGTAGAATCGGATACAGGTTTGCGCCAGGGCGTTGACATCCGAGGCACACTCAAATTTGCCTAGAATCACAAGCAGCAGCTCTATAGATAAGGAAGTAAGATCTCGCATGGTTTGGCTAGTTCTTGAGTAAGTTTTGAAAGGTTTAAATTCACTCTCCACTGTGACCAACAGAGCTTCTATGTATCCAGAGTGCTGCTCTGTTGTCCCGTTCGTCCCGATTAGTGCTTTGATTGTTTCTTTCACCTTCTCTTTTCCTTTATCTCATCTCCTCTGTGCCTCTGACTATATCATCTTAATTGTCTGTTGCTTTCATGGTACTTATTATGTTTTTAGGGTATCAAAACATCGACTCGTTAGTACTACATACAGCAACCTTTGTTGGGACGACCCGATTGGGAAAGGGCCGAAGCTTACATAAGTACTGATGCCTCAGGCTGTGATTAATGGACTGATCACGAGACGTCCAGTTATTCGTTCATGTTCTTTGTGCAATATCTCTGCGGGGCATTGCCACATCCAGTTTGGTGGTAATATCCAGATCATATATCATAAATTATCCATCACTTATCATACATCTGACATGTATGTTGTATGTGATATATCATAAAGCACTATCATCTGGCACAAGGTACGGAGTACTCCGTACTGCTCCCCAACAATGGCCAATCTCCCAACCCTAGTCCTCATCCCCGGCTCGTGGCATCAACCCACCTGCTACGACCCCATCGTCCAACTCCTCCAGGGCGAGGATCAGCTCAACTGCGTGGCAATCACCCTTCCCTCCACCACCGGTAACCCCAATGCCACCTTCAAGGATGACCTCGACGCCGCCCGCGCCGCCATCACCCACGAAACCGCCCAGGGCCGCAACGTGATCGTCGTCGCCCACTCCTACGGGGGCATGGTCGGCAACAGCGCCATTAAGGGGCTTACACAATCCGACTCGCCTGCCTCAGGGTCCGTGGTCGGCCTCATCCTGATCGCCTCGGGATTCACCTTGACCGGACTGGCCTTCATGGACCCGTTCTTCGGCCACCCACCCCCGGCGTGGCGGGTGAACCGCGAGACCGGCTACGCGGAGCTGGTCACCCCGCCGCGCGAGCTCTTCTACCACGACCTCCCGCCAGAGGAGGCGGAGGTCTGGGTGTCGCAGCTGACGACGCAGAGTCTAAAGGCCCTATTCGAGGGCGGGGAGTTTGCCTACGCCGGGTGGCAGGACGTGCCCGTCTGGTATATCGGCACCGTCGAGGACCGCGGCCTGCCGGTGGTGGCGCAGCGGATGCAGGTGGGCATGGCGCGCGCGATGGGGGCGCGCGTTGAGCACCGTGAGCTGCAGACGAGCCATTCCCCGTTTCTGAGCCAGCCGGAGGCGACGGTCGCGATTATGCTGGAGGCTGTCGAGGCGATTACGGGGGTGTCGGTCACCGTCAGGGATGAAGCTCCGTCAAAGGCGCGTGGCGCCGTGATTGCGGTGCCTGGAGCTGCCCTGTGGCACCCAGCGACTTGGTTCCAGTTTGGGATCCCGCTCGCGTTTGGGCGTCTGGTGGGCCGGTGTATTCTTCTCTTCAGGTGGGGGAGGAGTTTCTGGCGGTCTCACTAGGGTCCAGAGACGGGGATTCGATGGGCATAAGATTGGAGAGAGGAGGTGTCACAGCACTCTGAGTTACGTACAGTACATACATTATCCATTATGAGCTAGCAACCGAGCATTAGTAGAATATGGCTCCCCACCAAGACAGATCCCAAAATGGGAACCGGAGCTGAAATAAAAGGACAGACGGGTTAAACTAGTCAATCAACTGATCACGTTTGAACATCCTTCTCATGAGGCCACTTCCGAAACAAATCCCCCAACTGATCAATCGGCGCCGTCAACAGTCCGACGACCGTCTCAAACGGCGGCTTATTGGGGGCACTGGGATGCGCCCGCGACGGCATGAAGATCTTGGTCCGGTTGAACGACTTGGACAGGCTGATGCTGTCGTGATCGGACAGGACCTGTTCGAGATCGACCAGGTCGTTGTTCTCTTCTTCCCGCATCTGCGGACTCAACACTTCCATTAAACCCTTGACAGTGGGGATGAAAGTGGGGTGGGTCGGATCCAGGGTCTGGAATTTCTTCAGATGCTCTTTGACCTAGCCGGGCTGTCAATCATGGTCTCCGCGCACTCCGCGCACCATCTGGCGGGTTACTCACGGTGTGATTCTGCTTGCGGCGTTTCTCTGCTGTCGCCGCCCCGGCCGAGAGGTGTTTCTCATAGGCAGGGTAGACGACGAGCTCTTTGCCGACGGTGTTGCGTGCCAGCGCCCAGGTGAAAAGATTCTGGAAGCGGATCTGCTCTTGTCGATCGGCCGAGCTCACGATGCGGCCATAGCAAGCTTGGATCTCGTTATGGTCCTCTCTGACCGTGTCGACGATGTGGCCGGTCATGATTTCTGAACAAGGCCGGTAGAAGGTTCAAGTCAGACCATGTGGGATGGATGTACAGTCAGTACAGGCCGTTGAAAGGTGAAGCGATGGAAATGCAATACGAAGAGCAAGTGGTGATGTCATCGAGGAGAGCTGGGTTTGGTGCCTGAGGCACTGATCCTGAATCGACAACGCTGGGTGCTTAAGTAAGCTGTTTTGGGGTTTGTTCATCATGTCATAATGTTCATGCGGGAAAGACAGCCACCTTCAAGTGCCGGAATTCCTGGATCCAGTTCCTTGGAGCTGACAATGGCTCTGTCTGTGGCAGGTCGACCCGCCTCCAGACCTCTCTTAGCGCTTCCGTCGCAGTGACTGTCGTATTCCAGGGAATCTGCGCCGAGATGGCGTCGAGATGGGCAGCAACCCACTCCCGGTGATGAGGATCGGTGGCCTCCGCCCCGGCGACAAAAGACGACCAAATAGTGGACTTGAATAATGCGCTGGAGGGCGGAACTTGCGAGATATGGCCGATAACGGCCTGCACTAGTCCAGTCTGCCGCTCGGGTGTACAGCCGCCGGGGGAGAAATTCGGTAGCATCCGTGAGAGGTAGAGAACCACGGCCGTCTTGTACGCTGATCCGATATGCAATCGCTCGCGGTAGTCATTGACTGGAGTCCAACACTGCATAGCGGTGGCCCAAGCGGCTGGGTCAAACTGTTGAACGGACTCGTAGAGGTCGTGGCAGGCGTCTCTGCACGGGGTTCCGAAGTCTTCTTGTGTCTGAAATGCTAGGACAATACAGCTCGCTAGCTCGGCCGGACAAGAGAGGAAATGATTTCCCTCGGCGAAAACTAGGGAGTCAAGCACCCTCACGGTAGGATTGTTGAGTATAGACAGATGGTGATGTCCTACGCTTGGGGAGAAGGTCAAGCCAAAGATACTCTGGCTATCGTTCCGATTAGGTGACCGTGCAAGTTTGACTGAAGATTCGAGGACTTACATTAGAATACTGGATATGACCCACTGGTCGAACAAGTTTCCCCCATGTTCTGGTCTGCCCGCCAAGGAACGAATTCCAGGACCCATAAGACTGATCAGACGGACTGCTGAATCCAGATGCAGCTGCCATGTATCCCGGCCAGACTCGAGAAGATCGACATTGGCCAGCAACATCGAGCACACCAGCACCTGAACACACGTTGTTGGGTGGACTTGGCTGAGCATTGTCTGAAATCGGATCAGGGCACCCTGTTTCCACTGGAGTGCATCGACCAGGATGCCCTGCGCACGTTCCTTGGATGTAATGAGGTTATACCGATGATAGGCAGCCATGGCCATAATTGCATGGAACATGGCGGGACAAGTCTGGGAGCGCCAATAGAGTTCGCTGCACGGATTCCAAGTTTGCATGGGCAGGTGATAGATGACCAGATCCTCCCAGACCCGGGAGTAGAAATGATTCAAGTAATGGCGAGCCTCGGAGCTGAGGTCCTGTAGGAAGGGATCCATCAGGGTTCTTTGCACTTGGATACGTATTTCCGTGCTCCGGGACACGGAGGGTGCTGATGAAGGCTCGAAAGACTTCCCCATCATCTTCCCTCTACTCGCTACACCTTGCACCCAGGTGATCAGTTTGCCATAGCCAAGACATTCCACCCCCGATTTCTCGCACCGGCCACACTTTGGGGTTCGAAAGTCACATTTTACCCGACGCCGGCGACAGGTGTGGCATGCACTTGGCATGGGGTAATGATGTGGGGGGAGTTCTGGGGTGTGGAAGCGGATTTTCACCTGTGATGTGTAGGACATCCACGAGCTCCAGCCCTGGTCAGTCAGTTGGCTTGATCAGGCTGGTTGGGTAAGAAGATGTATGATGTTTGGGGAGGAATTCTCCTGCTGAAAGTTCGAAGAGAGTTGTGCCACAGCATGAATCAATAATGAATGTTGCGGTGGGGAATCCCGAGTTCTTGCGCCTTGGCTACCTGTTCCGGTTTAGTGTCCATGCCATGCATATGTAGATTTATAGATTCATGATAACCCTACAGTCCTCCAGAGCGGGCAAATTCAACCCTGAACACTGAACACTGAACAATGACTTTCTCCGGCCATTGCCTCTGCCGTGCAGTAACCTACATCGTCGACACGGCCTCCCCTCTCGTGGTCTACTGCCACTGCGATGACTGTCAGCGCAACACCGGGTCCACCTACGGTCAGTTCTGCTGCCATCATGGTTCATAGCTATTCTTCTTATGACCTTCCCCCTGCAGCCCTAATCTTGACAGTTCCCAAGCATACGGTGCATATCCAGGGTCCGCTTCGCACCTTCAGCAATGTGGGCAGCTCAGGCCTTGCAGTGCATCGCAGCTTCTGCGGGGTCTGTGGGAGCCCGATATCCGATGTTGCAGAGAGTGCGCCCGAGGAGATCTCCATCAAGGGTGGCTCACTGGAACCGGAGTGCAAGAGATGGTTGCAGCCGGTGAGCTTCTTCTTTTCCCGTCAGCCACTGGTCAAAGACTGACTGACGTCGTATGAATACAGTCGGAAGAACTGTGGACGGCTAGTAAACTGTCCTTCTGTCAGGAACGGTTGCCACAGTCTCACTTGCATATGCCCGAATGATGGTATCTGTTTCGAATTCCGGCTGCAATCGGTGAGGATTCTCGTTCATGCAACACAAGTTTGATCGCGTTCTTTGCAGTATTGAGGAGGCGCTCCATTGAGTTTGTGATGGGTGTGTGTGATGAACCAAGCTAGAGCATTTTAGACCATCTTCCAACAAGCCAGTTTTTCTTCGTTACAATTGCCTAAGTCGATACAAGGATACGGAAGTCTTCATATGGGATTTTGCTTCATCAATAATGAGTGGATCTTAATTTTGCTCTTGGATCCGGTTCAGATATTGTTTGGAGAGGGTCTTCCCTCCTGCTTGCACTCGCACACTTTTACCATGATGAGCTCGTGGTGCAAACGCGTGCATCACCACATTCGCAGACACAGGCACTAACACCGACCTGCGAAGCTTTGAAAGCTGGGTAACCAGTATAATCAGACTAAACTTTTAGAGTCTGTGAACTGCCTAACAACTGAACATACGCACAAGATGTGGGGCATGTGCTGGGGAGAAGTATCTTGTGCAGAATCCATCAATTGAGATACCAGAACTCCGTCCCAAATCTATCACCCTCGGCTTACAAAAGATTAGGAAGGGTTCAGAGCTTGAATGCTCGACTCGGAGGGCTGGAATCCCAAGGATTTGTCTTTTTGTGGGCGTTGGTGGGTGTTGTTGTTTTTGAAGCCCAAGAGAAATGATACTGCCACTCGATTCCGCCTGACATGCATAGGCAGTTTATGCGTGCACTTATGCACTTCTGCACTTCTGCAACTTCTGCATTTATGCGTGGGTCATGCAGCAGTATTAGTTAACTTATGTCACCTTATGTAAGATAGTTAAGATTCTCCATCATCCACTCCACTCCAAACCTTGTCATCGCGTGGAGCTTCCTTCTATCAAAGCTATGACTTTACGGAACAGAGTGGCTCCTGTTCAACTACCCCAGCCGCATCGGCTTTGAAGAATTTCAGAATCCTAGGAAATTTGACTGCAAGTGACTGCAAGACAAAAGCAAACTATAATGCCTGCCCACCACTTCTGCGACGACACGAGGAGCACAAGGCAATGAGTGGACCGCGCACCCGCTCTCATCGTGGATGCTCCAACTGCCGGCGCAGCAAAGTCAAATGTGACGAGAAACAGCCGGTCTGTACGCGTTGCTTTCAGAAAGACCTTTCCTGCACCCGAGGCACTCTAAATCTGAAGTGGGAGACGGATTATCGTGCTCGGGGGGTCGCATTCGGCCGTACGGGAGTCTGGCGCAAAGATGCCTCGAAAAAGCCGAGCCAAGAGAAGAGGAATATCCCATCCACTGCTGATCAGACCATCCTTGCAACCCCGGTCATCCATCCGTGGAGCTTTGTTCATGCGGATAGTCAAAGCTTGCAGCAATTGCTCGATCACCAGGATCTTGTGCTCATGCCGGCCAGGAACGTGCATGGACATAGTCTCCGACCAGCCCTATCCACCTCCCCCCTATGGAACCACCTTAATCAGAGCTTCCTGCTGGACTACTACATCAACCAGATCTGCCCCCGGACGACCCCAAGCTCCGGCTCCACCTCGCCGTTCGCCGCGGTTATCCTGCCCTACTGTCAGACCGCCTCCCCCGTGGTGATCAAGGCACTGATGGCTCTAGCAGCATGCCACTGGAGCCAACAGGACTCACGCTACGCCGTGCACGCCCTGAAGCTCAAATCGCAGGTCGTTGGAGAATTTCGCCGCCGCATTGCGAGCGATGACCGGGGCGCCTTCCTTCTCGCCCCGGACCCGGAAGTCCTCGTGCTCATCATGCTGCTCTGCCTCTACGAGATCGTGGATCACTGCGACCGACGCTGGATCGTCCACTTGCAAGGCGCGAAGGACATCATCCGTCTCCGACGTCAGCAGCCAGTTTCACAAACCGACGCACGGCTCCCCCTTCCAACAGTGCCGCCACGAGACCCCATCTCGAAATTCGTCGAGCTATTCTTCGCCTTCCAGGACGTGATGGGCCGCACCGCCTGCGCAAAGGCCGACCTCTTCGGACCCAGCTACTGGTCCGAGGGAGATGTGACCATCAACGACTGGATGGGCTGCAGTCCCGCGCTGGTGTCGATCCTGTTCGCGATCATGGACCTCAGCCGCAACCGACGCGGCATGATGGCTTCCGCGTCGGAGGAGCTGACCTTTCGCGCGCGGGCTTCGAACCTCCAGCGCCGGCTCGACAATCTCGTCCAGACACCTGCCGTCGAGCGGGAAGACGAGACCCTGAGTCGCGTGGCAGAGCTCAAGAGACTGACCTGCTCGGTCTATATCCGATCTGCGCTGCACGGGGCCAGACCTTGCGACCCCGCCGTCAAGGCCATCGTTCACCAAATCCTCGCGGGGCTGTCAGTGCTGGTCGCGCAGGGCTCCGCCAGCCAGGCGATGATGTGGCCGCTCTTCGTGGCGGCGGTCGAGCTGGATCCGCTCGATGATCTGGTGGTCGAGAACCCAAGTCTCAGCATGGCGGACGAGAAGGGTGGCCGACGGCTGGTCCTGCGGCTGCTGATGGAGATGGCCAAAACGAGTGTATCTAGCGTTGCGCGGATGCGGGCGGTCATTGAGGGCGTCTGGCAACGGCGGGACTTCCAGCTGCACACTATGGAGGATCGGAAGATGGGTCGGTTCTCCGACTTGAATGATTGGGAGGTGTTTGTTGTGCCGGGGAGTGACGCGTTGAGCCTGGTGTGAGAGTTTGGGGCGGGGGCGGGGGAGTTTAAGGACGGATCAACATGAATGATGCTTATGGTGATGCTCATGGCCAATCAAGGAGGAAGGGCACCGGTCAATGTAGATGCGCATGTACTGTACTTATGAATAATGGGCTGCGCATGTTTCTAGTGCAGCAAGTCTAGTCGAAGAGATGAGTCTGGGTAGACGGCATGGTCACCGATGCAGACACCATGCAAGAATAATGCGAACATTTGAGATGCATGACACTAGAGCTCACATAAGACCGACGAAAATGGCTTTCCATCCAATAATGTCACTCATCAGGCAACGAATGGCGCCATGGGCCTCCGGAGTGGTGCATGCGTGCATGATAAGACACTCCTCATTCCTCATACATTTGAGGGATGGCGAATCTCGCCCGCAAGCGGGGCTTCGGTGATAAGCGCCATCCATCACCGGCGATTAAATACACCAGAAAGGACACCGATAAGCCCCAGGACGCCACTGCCAACACTGAACCAGCGTCTACCCGGCTCTAGAACATCTAATCCAACATGGTAGCCCGAAAACACATCAACGTGGCCATCGTTGGGGCCGGACCAGGAGGATTAGCGACTGCCATCGCCCTCTCGGAGCTCCCCTACGTCTCCGTCACCGTCTACGAACGAGCCCCCGAGCCTCGGGAGGTCGGGGCTGGCATCAGCATCGGCCGCAATGGCTGGAATGTGCTGGAGTTGCTGGGCGCTGCCGACGGGGTCAAGGGGGCAAAGAAACAAACCCCCTTCCAACGGTCGGTGCGCCTCCTTGCCCTAACTACTCCTACATGATGGCTGAAACCGAGACTCGCAGCAATGGTCGCACGGGCGAACCGGTCGTTCCGCGCGCAACGCCTGCTCCCCTCAGCCCCGAGGAGGCCAAGTATGAATCCATTAGGGCTCGGAGGACCCGCCTGCAAGCCGCCCTGCTCGCCAGAGTTCCCGCCAACATCATCCGCTTCAACAAGAAGCTGGTTTCTCTGACGGATCTTGGCGGGGAAGACAGGGAGGACGGGGTTCGTTTGCAGTTCCAGGATGCGACCGTAGCGACCGCGGATCTAGTGGTCGGGGCTGACGGGATTCGTTCGGTGAGACTGGCCAGTCCAACAGAGGTGAAAGTGTTGGCAGGCAGTGGGCACTGACCTTGCCCTAACTATAGGTCGTACGGCAGACATTGTTCCCCGACCACCATTTGCATTTCACTGGTGAGTGACTCACCCAGCCTGACAGTGCTTGCAACGCCGTCACGGGCCTGGTTAAACAGAAGCAACTCTCCCCAGGAGTCACCGCGTGGCGTGTTCTGGTGCCAGTCGCCGCCATCCGCCATGTCGCCGACTTTCCCACCTCCACCGGATGGTGGCACGGCCTCAACGGCTACTTCTACTTCTCGCACGTCGATGACGAGCCCGACCGTGAGCTGTGCGAGATCACCGTCCGGTCCTTCAACGAGCCCGAGGTGCCCGGCCGAACCGCAACCTGGGCCATTCCATCGACCAACGACCGCGTTCGCGCTCGGTGTGGGGTGCGTACAGATATCCCCGGACCCTCTCGCCCACTCACTCCAGGGACGTGAACTCACCAAAGAACGAAACACAGGAGTATGATCCTCGGATCCAGGCCGTCTTGGATGTGGTCCCGGAAGGGGACTGGCGAGAGTTCGCGATGGCCGCTGGACCGTGTCTCCCGGAGATCCAAGGCTGGGATAAAGTGGCCTTAATCGGAGACGCCAGCCATCCGCTGTCCGGTGCCTTCGGGTCGGGGGCCGCGTTTGCGATGGAGGATGGATGGATTCTGGCCCGGGCAATCGAGCATACTATCACCTCGAACACCACCATCAAGGATGCGCTCGGGATCTTCCAACAGATCCGGGCGCCGTACTATGAACGAATGCACGTGACTTCTCTACCCTCTGCCTGGCACCCAAGAGGGTAATGTGGCTGACACGATGTTCGTCGCAGGTATAACTATCTCGATCGGAAGGCGAGCGATGTGAAGAAGGCTCGAGCGCTGAATGGGGACTTTGATACCGTCATTAAGACCCGCGTCGCATCATTTGGAGGCGCCGGGGCGGATTCGTTAGACTGGATCTACAAGAACGATATCAAACAGGTCTGGTCGGAGTATGTGGCGAGTGAGACCAGATAGAAGTCATCCCCAAACGATTAGTGACGCAGCGGAAGGGGCGGAAAGACCGTGCCTAGGGATACGGTTTTGTATCGCGGTGGGAGATATATGGCCAATCAAGCATGGGCTCGAGGTGCTGCATGGCCTCTGAAGCATTCCCAGTGATCAGGATCTCAGCCAGCATCTTCCTGTCATAAACAGCCGTAACCTTGTCCCCTTCCACCAAGATATTCCGGCGGGAACGTGAGCATGAATGAGGCAAATCCCATCGTTGCCCGTCAAAGCATGCTCTGCAAAGTGACGTAGGAGGTCTGGTAGTTTCACAAGATCGTCAAGAATGAACGCGATGAATTGATGCTCGCAGCCTGATGAAGGCCTGGCCGTAATCCACATGCGAAATGTAATCCCCTTCGATATGGTGAAGTTGGTGTAGGTGGGAATTAAGCTGTGAGAAGAACAGACTCAAGACACGTCGAGATGCGGGGTGCCCGTAAGCTGCCGTTTGGGGGGGGGGGGGGTTTGTATCAGACCATCGCTGCGTCGGTAAAGCAACCCACTTTGGTTGGAAAGACTAGGCAGTGTCATCTAGCAGCGGTGGAAACCGGTCTGAACAGCTTGGCCATTTTATCAACGGGGAACGGGCGAGATAACAGCCCAATCTTGAAGCTCGACGCTGCTGTACCCAACGGGAGATGTGCAACTTGCCCTTCCCCTTTCCTCATCTCTGCTCACCGACACCATTCTCTCAATAATGAGGGTACTGCCTGCAAAGCAAACAGAATTTCGTTTGCCTCTGAGAAGATTTCCAAGGGGACCGCAATTTGCCGTCTGTGTGCTCTGTGCTACCCCAACCCTCAAGGTGTGGTGAGTCTCCATATTGCCCACCACAGTGATATCCTGTAGGAGTCCGTTATGCTGAGGGTATGTGCAGCCGTCTTTGTTCGTTGGTAATAGCGGACGGAACTGAGGCCGCCCTCAGAGCTCATCCAAGGAGGTCTTTTTGCAGCCATCCGGCAATGCAATGGAGATTGGCACGAAAGCCCGTTTCCATCGGGTGTCCACCACCAGGCTGCATCCGCGTGTACATACAGTGTACAGACAACTTACAGAGAAACCTTCTAGGCTGTGGCGGTGGCTTTTCTCCGGAGCCATTGGGAAATACATACGTGTTTGCCAATGCGTATTCCCTTCCCGAACTTGTCGTGCTAGGGGCGTTCCCCCCGGAACCACGATGACACGAAGAGCTTTACCAGAATGACAAACGAGCACGGCAGGAAACAAGTGATGGGCCAAGCTACTGACCAGCGACAGGAGTCTTTCAACGCAGAGTCATCGCTGGAGATGGCTCGGTTAAAAGAAGGCGCGGCCCAGGCCTTTGGTACACTGAATGACTCTCAACTGTCCTTTATTTACATCTTTTATCCCGACTCATCGAGAGGCCAGTCCAATCTAAGTGTCTTTGCTACTCCCCGAATCCAAGCCACACCATCATGGCTCACAGGATTCGGGCCTTTGCCGCGGATTCTCGTGCCTTGCCCACCGACCGACTTGCCCTTGGCGATCTCGTTATCAATCCCAAGGAGCCTGATAGGCCACTTACTCGGGTCACAGAGGAGGTGCTGCAGCAAGAGTATCCAACAGTCGCATATGATCTACCCTACGGACCCGTTAGCGAGTCTATCGACAAAGCGGACAACTCAAGGCTCCGCTTTACTACACCTTTGCGTGGGCTTCTGTCTTTTGCGGTATCATTTAACCGGTCTACCGGCGACATCCTCGCGTACGAAGCCGACAAAGTTCACAAACGTATGTTTTTACAGTTTCCAAGCAGAAAGGAGATCGAAAGACGCCTCAAGGAAGAGGCCGTTCTGGAGTTTCTGAATGGTGTCTCACGCCCGTTTATCGGTGGTGGTAGGGCGCTCTACATGGTATCTGGTATTGCCACAGCGACGAACCTATCCTTCAAGACGACTGAGATTCAGGACCAAAAACAGTCCCTCCAGCTTGGGTTCGAAGCGACCAAATTCACGCCCGACCATCATTCCAAATCCTCCAGGGTATCTGAGGAGGTTGTCCTGGGCTATCAGCTGCTGCGGATTGTCATTCCCTCATTTGTCTCTAAAGTGTTGCCCACATTTTCAGGTTGCAACAGAGTAGCTGCATTACCAACAATGATTGCCACTGCCCATAAAGCGCCGGACTTGTATTCCCACAGCTCCTCTGTATTCCTGAAGGGCGGGACTGGGACGCACTCGCCCAGTGTCGCGATCACTACCTCGCTTGTGGACTTGAGGACCAGAGCCTGTCTGTCAAGCTTAGCGGGCGGACGGCCACCACGCGTTCGTGGCTGGCAGGAAACCTGATCTCTGAGCTCCTCGCCGTCGTTGCTGCTGCAAAGAAGAGAATATGTCCGTCTCTCTTCTTGACAGCCTCGTCTATAGCATGGCTGATTTGCTCGTCCTCTGGTACATAGAATGCCATGCAAGCGATAGCGACACTAGGATCTTCGGAGAGGTCCTTGATCTTCTATCGCCAGGTCAATATCGAGAGCTCGCAAGAGGATACTTTGAAATGAGATTGGACCACAATACCTCAGCTATTGCTTTACCTGCCTCTCGAAGGTCATCAATTTTTATCCCCAACGCGCACCGGTTTGATGATGGTTGAGGGGCAAATCTGTCGTATCAAGCTGATTATGGCCGTCCCATAGCCATTTCTATCATAGTATGTGGCGCTGTTATGCCCACAGTCCTTCCGCCCTGTGAGCTGCCCGGTATGCTCGGCCAGCATTTGGCCAGCCGTGTCCCTTACAACCACGGTTGGGGGTTCTCTCATCTTGCGTCGCGGTGTCAGTTGCTGTATCAGACTAGCGCGCTTCGCGATCCAGGCTTGCGTCTTCTGTTTCATGGTACGGGGATACGGCAAATATATGCTGAAGGTCTCAGAGCCCCGACCAGCGGACTCAGCATCAGAGACCGAGATGGGTTCTCCCAGATTGGCACTGTTGACTCTCGGCCGTATGCTCAAGGGATCCTGCTGTGTCGTTCTCTGACGAATGTTAATAGTAGCCGCCATTCCTTAAGGTCGATCCGTTTGACATGGCTTTGCGGTTGTGAAGATGAAGCAGATGGGAGAGTAAACTGAATGGTGTTCGTTTATGGTAAGCCTGAGAGAGGAAGGTTCCATGCAGGTATTGAAGCATGTCCGGCAGGTAAGCTGAGCCAAGGCTATTGGGGTGTATCTCTTTGTTGGGTCCATTCTGTCTGTGAGTGAATTTCAGAGGTTCTTTTTAAGGCTATCTATCGCTGAGGTAAGATTGGAGAGAGTCATATTCAGGCATGCGAGAATAAAGAGTGTAGGTGGATCCGTTTCCAGCAAAAGACATTGTTTCACTCATCAATAGTGTCTTTCGGTTACTTTTTACTTCCAATCACTTCTAGCTGTGCATGGTCCTGAATGGATGAAAGGAGAATAGGAAGGCCACTTGTGTCTATAGCTTGAATGAGTTATGCGATATTGCGAAGGCACCGAAAGACTTATTTGGTATTTACCCAGCTCCAATTTTAGATGGATTACATAGCGTGCGCTCACGACAGTCCCTCCGACTGAGCTAGAAGAAAGAATATCCTGCACCTGAAGACGACGCTAGCAGGCGATTGGGGATACTCAACATTAAACACTTGGAGGGCTATGAATCAACCTGATACACTGTGAATATCGTCCGCTGCCCATAAACCAACGGTCAATTAACCCAATACGAATGGCGCGCATGAAACGTGGGGGATGCTGAGCGTCGACTTCTCGGAGACAGTGCATACTGCCCCAGCGCTCAGCAAAGAGTAGGTGCAACCCCGTCTCGTTGATCCCGCTATTCGATAGTTTCGTACTCAAGAATTCTGGACTGCCGGCAGCAGCCAGTTGTACTGTACATGGAGACTGGGCTCCAGGTTGGCAGGAACCTGCCTGTCACATACCAATAATTCCAGGAAGGCCAGCCCTAGCGCGAAGCCAGCTTGAACCACCCGGGGACAATATACTGTCGGCTAAGGGCTGCTCGAGATTGTCATGGGCCGCACCAGGGAGATCAAAGCTAGGGAGCATTACACTCCCCCTTGTGAATTGGGTTCCTGGATGATCCCTTTGGGACTGATTGCTCGTCGCGGTGCTGCAGCAATTGACAAAGGTCACAATAGGTGAGCTGGAGCTATCTTCTTCCAGACCCCGAGAGTTAGAGTAGGGCGAGTACTAAAATTTGACTCTCAAGGGCCTCGGCATAGTCAGCACCATGACTGGCTGCAAAAAACTACACTAAAGACAAAACAGTGCTTGGGCAACGGTACCACTACCCCGGGGAGGGTCGCCCATGGGATAGTGTCGAAGTCAGTATTGATAACCCAGGCCCGGTGATTATTGCCTCCAAATTATTGGAGATGGTAATGGTTCCCAAATCATGGCTCAGGCTTAGGCTCTACTGGCCTGCTGAAGGGTGACCCATACTTATTTCTGAATACGTGGATGATGTTCGCCCAAAAAGTACTTCGCCAAGTAGCTGAGGCCGAGTATAGAAGAGAACGGAAGGTGAAGTTATAGTTGAGCGCATTTCACCCTCCTGAGGGACAAAACCATTGGGATGACCAAGTGGTGTAACCCAACAGATAAAATCCCCCTTAAATACGAACCAATCATGGATTTACATACAAGACAGCTTACATCTATAAACTAACTACCTAATACCCCATACATATTATATCACCTTGCTTGTTTGTGATGCTTGTCGCAGAATCAAGGCATTTAACAGGACACTGAAAGCGCCAATTCACACGAGTCGAAAGAAAGAATGGCGCGGATCGCCGCATCACCGCATCAGGCAATCAATCAACAACCCCTCCGGTCATCAGACGGGCTGAGTCCTGGAATCCTACCATCCATTCTCCTCGTAAAGGCACATTCCTTGTAGACAAGGGTTATATGCCGATCATAAGGGTCACATACATCGTGACTAATCGTGACCATAATTACAGCACCGTACTACCCTCTCCCACTGCTGAAAAAGGTAATATGCATGTATACTTAGTGATTCACCTGTTATTACCATACGCATATTGTACTAATTACCCCATCTATCCATCTTCAAGATCATCGAGCGTGCCAGGAAATTGTCTCTCAGCAAAGCTTCGGGAAATGTATTATACTGACTACCATATGGAGAGTGGACAGGAAATGTGAGGCCATTGACGATCCCCGCAACCGCCCCACGGGTGGGTTTTGTGGAGCGTCAGGGTTAGCATTGAGGATCCCCCGGCTTGAAGCCGATTCGATCACTGATTACATGTATGGGACAGTCGACTGCAATCCCAAGTCCTATATCCCTAGGTGTCGAGTCTATGGGAACTCGATTTACGCACATCATTCTCGCAGATCTTTTCTTCATGCCTTTCCGTCGTCATCCTCGTCTCTACGACCAATCATGTTGTCACATCCGGTTGAAGCTGCCGTCCTGTCTCCAAGGCTATTTGCCTCCCCCGGTCTGGACGGGGAGTAGGAATCAGGCGCTGCGGCAGAGTGCCCAGCAATCGCCATTCTTTGGTAGACGTGGAGTCAGCCGATTAACGAGGGCATGCGGGAGATGCCTGCAGTATGAGTCCGGCCATGCCTCGCAGTGGCTGTCCACGGAAAGGAAAAAGTGACAGTGAGGTGGCTGGTCTTTGGATGCAAGAAGTTGTGCAAGGCAAGCTCACACTGGCAATCTATCTTTGGTTGTCATTGTTCGAATGAGTAACCGCGGCATTGCTATAAAGACCAAGACAACCGCGAACAATACGCACACCAAGTCCGATCCACGGAAAGCGGAGATTTCCGCTGCCTGACCTTCACATGGTACTAAGCTCGTTGTAACCCTACCTGCGCCCACCTTGACTCTGAACCAGCTCGCTCTTTCGTGACAATCCATCTTTCGTTGTGCCATCAGTGCTTGAGAAAGGAACAAAAGACTGCCTGTCTTCTGTCAACGTAGAAAAGTACCCTTCAATCAATTCCGTTGAGATAATAATGGGCCAGTCAAGGAAGCCATAAGTAGCCCTATGGCACGGAGATAGTGGAACCGGTGCTCGCTGTGACCCAAAAGCGAACAATGCCTGATTGGATCAAGTAGATGCTGCAGTTTTATATTTTTAGAGAGGTATTTAAAGCGTATGCATGGTATTGCTACCCACAACAGTCTTTCAACCCCCGGATCAGAATCCTCACCGACCTCACCACAACACCAGCCCAGATCCTATCCATCATGAATGTATTAGCAATCCTTGACAGGATACATAACAGCTGGGCGCTGGCCCCGGGCCTTGATCACGCTCCCGACGATCTGATTCGCTTGGGTAATATCTTCTTAAATCCTAGCGAGCCCCATCGGCCGCTTACGACAGTCACAGCGGCTGAGCTTAAGGCGCAATATCCAGAAATCTGGAGGAGTCCATCAATGGACATACGTTGGGATGCCCAAGTTTCACGGGAGTTCGGCCTTGTATCTGGGGTGGAAGAGGTCCCCCTCGAGACTCTTCTACATGAGGGATTAGTGATCTGGAGAACAAACATCAGCATCGACAGTATCGTGGACTACGAACTCGCTGACATGCCCAGCCAGAGCACCGTACAGGCCCGCCTGACGGATCCTGCTATTCAAGCACTGCTGGAGCAAATCAGCGGCAGCTGTACATTGTATATGGTGACTGGTACTAAGATCGTCAGCGGTTTCTCTGCCACGGGAGAACGGGGACATCACCCCAGCGTTGGCCCAAGGGATGCACTCACCGTCGCCATCAACGAACCAGGACCGAAGGTTGTTGGTTACCAGATGTTGAAGATTGTAGTAGATTGTATACAAGGAATTTAGCTTAGTAAAGTCTACTGTAGTGCAGACGATCCATACTTCTTCCCTAGTGATTGGTACGGGCTGGCCGACCAATTACTTCTCCGGAAAGCGAAGGCCGAGTGTAGAAGTGGACAAGAAGGTGAAGTTACCGTAAGAGTTGTATCCTCCTGAGGACCTGCTGCGGGCCTGCTGCGGGCCTGCTGAGGGGTAATAACCTCATGTGGTACCTAGTAACCTGTTGGTATGACCATGCAAAACGATTAAAGCCAACCAGAAAAAGAAACAAATGAACCAATTACAAATTACGCCTTCTACGTACGTCCTATACATTTTACCACCGTCCGGTCTACTCCTACTTAATACCACTCAAGCACACCCTTCCAATTTGCTCATGATGCTTGTTGAAAACCAAGGCTTTTGTCTACATGAAAACGGCAATTCACACGAGGGGGAAGAAAGTGGGGATTGCCGTATCAGCAACAACCCTCCGGTTATCGGACCGAGCCCCCACTTCACTTACTAAGTAACTCCTTAAGAATGTACAGGATTCGCAGGATTCCCAGAATTTACGGTATTCACGGTATTGAACAATCACTTGAACGGGGTCCAGGTTCAGTTTCGCTAGCAATACTCCGTACTGGTAACCCACTGAACAATTAACCCGTCTACGTCATCGACCGCGCCGGGGAAATTTCTTCGGCAAAACTTAGGCAAATGATCAATTATACTGAATACATGGAAAGTGGAGGCGAGATATGAGGCCACTGAGTATTGACTGTCCCCGCAACCGCACGTAACCCCCACGGGTAGGATTTGTGGAGCGTTGGCGTTGGTTGGGGTCGAGGACTCGGCACGAGGCAGATCCCCGGCTTTGGACTTCATCCCGAGCCCTAATGGATATGATGATGAAGATGATGATGCAATCTAACAATGCAACACCGCTACGCCGTGTTTCCCGTTTGGAGTCACGGCATACTTACTTCGAGGTAAATAAATAGAGGATCTTGTGGACGTCTCATTGCATTTGAATCCAGTCCTCCACGGCGACCTCAGTTCCTCCAGTCAAGGCCCATCTGACTGCGATGAAGGTCTCAACCGACTACGCCTTCCTCCTCTCAGGGACGCTGCTGGCTCCCTCGGTCCATGCGAACACTTGCCAGGCCTCAATCAACCATCCTGGCAAGCCCTTCAGTCATGTGCAGCCGCTGAACACCACCATTCTGACACCCTACAGCTCTTCCCCGGCGGTCTATCCTTCCCGTAGGTCCTCTCTGGCGTTGAACCCAATAATCCCTCCACTTCTACAGCTCTTTCCCTGCTAACTGACTCTTCCCACGCTCAGCCAACATCACCGGCGTTGGCGGATGGGATCAGGCGCTAGCCACGGCCAAACACTGGGTCTCCCAACTGACTCTGGAGGAGAAGACCTGGATGGCTACCGGCCAACCGGGCCCTTGCGTCGGCAACGTGCTGCCCATCCCACGGCTCAACTTCACGGGACTCTGTCTGCAAAACGGACCACAGTGCCTCCAGCAGGGCGACTACTCGAGCGTCTTTGTCAGTGGAGTGTCCGCGGCCGCCAGCTGGGACCGCGACCTGCTCTACACGCGCGGACAGGCAATCGCGCAGGAGCACAAAGCCAAGGGGACACATGTGGTGCTGGGTCCCATCGGAGGCCCCTTGGGGCGCAGTGCATACAACGGCCGGACCTGGGAAGGGTTCGCCGCCGACCCGTACCTGACCGGGGTGTGCATGGAGGAGACGATCCGAGGCATCCAGGACGAAGGCGTGCAGGCCAACGCCAAGCACTGGATCGCTTACGAGCAGGAGACCCAGCGCAACCCGACCTACGCCCCGGACGCCAACGCGACGACCTACATCCAGGACTCGGTCTCCTCCAACCTGGATGACCGCACAATGCACGAGATCTACATGTGGCCCTTCGCCAACGCCCTCCGCGCCCGCGTCGCCAGCGTCATGTGCTCCTACAACCGCATCAACGGGTCGCACGCCTGCCAGAACTCATACGCCCTAAACCACCTGCTTAAAACCGAGCTGGGCTTCCAGGGCTACGTCATGTCCGACTGGGGCGCTACCCACAGTGGCGTCGCCTCAATCGAAAGCGGCATGGATATGACCATGCCCGGTGGATTCACCGTCTACGGCGAGCTGTGGACTGAGGGCTCCTACTTCGGCCAGAACCTGACGGCGGCGGTACGCAATGGCTCCGTCACCAGCACTCGCCTGGACGACATGATCGTGCGCATCATGACTCCGTACTTCTGGCTGGGCCAGGACGACCCCGCCTACCCCAGCGTCGATGCCTCCGTCGGCCCGCTTAACATCGACTCGCCCCCGGACACCTGGCTGTACGACTGGCAGTTCACGGGCGAGCAGAACCGCGACGTGCGCGGCAACCACAGCCAGCTAATCCGTGCACATGGCGCGGCCTCGACCGTGTTGTTGAAGAATGAGCGCAACGCCCTGCCGCTGCGCAAGCCGCGCAACATCGTGATTGTTGGCAACGACGCCGGCCCCATGACGCAGGGAGCCTCGAACCAGAATGACTATGAGTACGGAACGCTGGCCAACGCCGGCGGATCGGGCACCTGTCGGTTTAGCTTCCTGTCGACGCCGCTGGAGGCGATCACGGCGCGGGCCCGGCGGGACGGGGCGCTGGTGCAGTCGTGGCTGAACAACACACTGATCACCACCTCGGGGCTATCCTCGCTGTGGAACCCGCAGCAACCGGACGTCTGTCTGGTGTTTCTGAAGAGCTGGTCGCAGGAGAACGAGGACCGGAATTCGCTGGAGCTGGACTGGGATGGACCCGCGGTGGTGGAGGCCGTGGCGCGTGACTGCAACAACACGGTGGTGGTCACCCACTCGGCGGGCATCAACGTGCTGCCCTTCGCCGATCACCCTAACGTGACGGCCATCCTGGCGGCGCACTACCCCGGTGAGGAGTCGGGCAATTCCCTGGTGGACCTCCTGTACGGCGAGGTGAACCCATCGGCCAAGTTGCCCTACGTGATCGCCTACAACGCCTCGGACTACAACGCCCCCGTGACCACCGCGGTGCAGACCAACGGAACCTACGACTGGCAGAGCTGGTTTGATGAAGGACTGGAGGTCGGATACCGCTACTTCGATGCTCACGACATCCCTGTGCGCTATGAGTTCGGCTTTGGCCTCAGCTACACCACCTTCAACCTGAGCGCATTGCACACCACGACGCCCAGAACCAACCTCACGGCCTTGCCCGCGGCCCAGCCCATTCAACCAGGTGGAAATCCCGCCCTCTGGGAGACGGTGTACACCCTAAGCGCTCAGGTGAGCAACACCGGCGGCGTGGACGGCTATGCCATCCCACAGCTGTACGTGGGATTCCCCGACTCGGCGCCCGCGGGGACACCCCCGAGCCAGCTGCGTGGATTTGACAAGATCTGGGTGCCCGCGGGACAGAACAAGACGGTCACGTTTGACCTCGCACGGCGTGATGTCAGCTACTGGGACGTGATGGCGCAGGAGTGGCGCATTCCCTCGGGACGGTTTACCTTCCGCGCGGGGTTCAGTAGTCGGGATTTCCACGCCAACGTGACGGCTACGCTGGTCAATTGATGAGGAAGGCATAAAGTGGGGGATTGAGTGCTCGAGGGGGTGAATGGACTGTACTCGAAGTAGTAATGAGTCATGAATTGGGATATGTTTATATCTTCTGTAGCGATTGCCCGAAACCCCCTCACTGGGGTGCACAGGAATAGCTCAGCTCTTATTGCGGTAACCCTACTTTTGCGTGGCAAACCGACTCTTCCGTCGGATTTTCTTCCCGTATCTGAAGAAGATATATCTAACCCCAGCGAAGTCAGCCACCAGACACCAGCTGCAGCGCAACACTCACGGAAATGGAGCCATCACCAGACTCAGAAACGCCAGCAAGGAGGTCGCCCACTGGTTGCCCAGCGTGTGATACACTGATCTCTTGTTAGCTTCCTGAACAACCCGGCTTCATGTATGAATCGCAAGCTTACTCGGATACCCGAACAAAGGAAACGCAGCGGCAAAAGTACTGCGCGTGAAGCTATTGGCCCCTAGGGCACTAGCAGCGTATACAGGGTACGCATCCACCAGGAAGGTGAAGACGCCCGCGTAGACCAGGATCATTCTGCATTGCATGCCGCTTGTCAGCGGAGCCCTGAGTTTTCACATTTTTCACCACCAAGAGAACCTCGGGAAACTTTGAGGTATACTTTACCCTGCTCCAAACAAGGAACTCCCGATTATAGGGATCGCCCAATGCACCGAAGGCAGTCTGCTACACGGTCAATATTGGCTCGGACACACTCCTTGCACATGAGGTAAGAAAGCAAGGAGGAGAAAGCTCACGCCGTCCAAGCAAACCAGAACAACCCCACTGTCAACAGCGGCGCCCCGATCACTGCCGGTGGCAGTCGTCGCTCGGGGTTCCTCTCGTCAATCTGCTGCAGGGTGTTCATCCGAAAATACAACCTGCGACACCTACCACCAAAGGTATCAGACCACTCACTCCGGACAAGGGCAAAGATTTATACCAAGGATCTGCAACCACCACAGCGACCATCCCGGCCGTGATGCCCGCAAACGTGAGGCCAGACTGCCACAGCCCCCAACTGTAGACCGTGCCGAAGATAATCTTAAACGAGCCGAAGAACAGGTACTGAATGCCCAGGGCAATGGCTGAGAGGAGGCAGAGATTTAGACACATGGGCTCGAGGAACAGGAGCATGAACGGGCGGTAAAGTGAGCGGAGAACGGTCTGGAAGATTAGCCAGCCGAGTTGCATAGAACAAGCCCTGGAATGAAGGAAAAGTCCAGGGAACACGCACCATCGAGATCGACCGATCCAACCGCTCGATCGGTGCCTTCCATCGCTCATCCCCTGTTTCCTTGCGAAGACGACGAGCTTTGCTCCGGAGGAGGACGGGGTGGTAGGTCTCCGGTACGAAGCAGAGGACGAGGAGGCACTGGATGGAGGACCAGATGAGGAGGGTGTAGAACGACCAGCGCCTTTACTCAGGAAGCAGATCCATGTGAGACTCATTGTCCAGACGTCGGCTGGCTGGACTCTACTCACCATGACGCAAACGAATTGACCAGACCCCCAAGCATGGGTCCGAAACTCGATCCGGTGCTATCATTTCGCCATCAGCCATCAGTCAGTTTCCCTTCCTCCACCACAACTACCCCTTTCCATTGATCAAGATATCAGACCCACAAAGGCGACGCCGTATACACCAGCATCGGAAAATGCAACTTCTCCTTGGTATACAGATCCCCTACTGTCGCGCCCGCCACGCTGGTGAACGCCGCCCCAGCTAACCCGGTCAGCAACCGCGCCACCAGCATCGTCTCGATGTTGCGTGCGACCGCGCAGGGGACCAGGAAGAGGACAAACAGCGGCAGCGAGATGCGGAAGATTGGGCGTCTCCCATAGAACTCTGACAGCGGCGAGAGCACCAGGGGCCCCCAGCCCAGCCCGCCGATGAACAGGCTTAGCCCCAGGGTGGCGACGATGCGCGAGCAGCGCAGCTCCTCGGTGATCTGGTGGTAGGTGCTGACATACAGGGAGCTGGTGACGGTAATGCAGAGAGTGGTGGAGCAGATGAGGAGCTCAATCGCCCATTTGCGCCGCGGTGCGAGACAATGCGGGTTCGCGCGGGCGTCTTCGGGGGCCCAGCGGACTTCGAAGGCGTCGCTGGATAGTGACTCAAGGTCCATTTCTGTCGAGTGGGAGGAGGTTTCCATGCCTTTCTTTCCTTGTTGACCTGGAAAGAGGAATGAGTAGGCTGGTTGATTCTGGAAAGAAGAAGGGGAAATGCTGCGTTGAAACTGTTGAGGTTCATGCTGCGGGGAAGAAGCGAGTGCATTGGGAGAGAATGGGTCTGGCTGAACACCGCTGATGGTTGGACCCGGATCTTCGATTGGCCCCTAAAGTCCAACACCCTCGGACAAACAGAGTCTGTTCTGTTTGTTCCGAAGTGGTGTCATGATCGGCGAATTGTGGTTTTTTCGTGAGACCGTCATCTCCCCTGCTATACGAGCCCGCGATGGGCGGTGGTTGGTTAGGCATATGGTTCTTACGGTATACCTTGTATAGTTCAACTTTCTCCATCTGGCCACTGTCGCTGTGCATTGCAAGTCTACTATGATTGGACCTTTCTCCGAGTTCCTCAATAACCTTCTATCTGATCCCAGGGTGGAATGCGTTGCTGCCGTCCCTTTGGACAATGCGGTTGGCCGACAACATTAGGGCTAGGAGTCTTTGACCTGACCTTGGCTGCTGAGCACTGCCCGCTGTACATACTCTCGGAGAATGTGGATACAGTTGTTGCAATACTCCCTCAATCTCCTGTACTTGCTTTAGCAGATAATATCAGACCGTATGATGCTGTTGATGATGCTGAGAGAACGTCCACCCCGGAGTTACACTGTCCTCCGGCAGTATGTTCAAGTACCTTATTTTCCAATTGGTCTCACTGCAGCTGCATTACCGGGGCTGTCGCACAGCCTCCAAGGTCTGTCCGACCCGATGGGGTGAGTGGCTGTCCCAGAAGCATGTTTTTTACTGACTCAGGCGGCTGGCTAGGAATGGCTCACAGACATTGGAAGCTGTTCGCATCAATCAAGTCCATCCTCATCTACCAATGGAAGCACTGCAACTGACAGGTCTTACTTCTTGATGGTGCATGCAAATTCCCTTATGATATGGATGGTATAGCCCCTCCGATACAGCCTCCTTCCTCAGCAACCTTAGCATGCGTCAAATTCCCAATCCAACTCCTTCCCCCCCTCCCTCCCACCCACCCATTCAACCCTGAAATCCTACCTCAAAACTCAGCAGCTCTGTGAATCGCACCAGCCACCTCCCCCATCCTCGACAAGAACGGACTATGCCCAGCATCCAACGTCTCCGTCCGAATACGATACCCCTGCCCGACCCCCTCCACCATTTGCTTCTGCGCCTCCACCGGCATTGCCCGATCTCTCGCGCAATAAAGGTACGTGGTCGGCACGACCTTCCACGCCGCAAAGCGACAGACACTAAAGAACGTGCGATAGCTATGCGGTTTCAACTCCGCCACGGCCGTGCGCGCCGCCGTCTCCGGCACATCCTGATAGAATACCTCGATCGGATTGCGCGGCATGGCCGCCATCTGATCCGCCGAGACCTCCACCCAGGGGGGGTCTTGGCCGCCGAATGCGTCCCTGAGCGAGTGGTCCGCGGGAATGAGGAAAGAGCAGCACAGGAAGAGCTGCGTGACGCCGCCGGGGAGGTTTGCTTGCTGGCGGGTCTCCAGGTCCAGGTGCTGAATGGCCTCGCTGGCGACGACGCCGCCGTAGGAGTGCGCGAACACGAGGATGCGGTGGCTGGCGGCGGCGAGGCGCAGGATTTGGGTGCGGATTTGCTGAACGTCTTCGGTGAAGTCGTGAAGGTAGTGGTGGTTCTCGGGACCGACGGAGGGGAGGTGAACGACGTCGATGGTGTAGGTTGTGGTGGATTGCAGGAGGTCGATGACCTGGTTGAAGCAGCTTGGGCTGTGCCAGGCGCCCGGGATGAAGAGAATGGCGGTTGAGGGCATATTTGCGGTGGCGATCGATTGGTGAGAGGAATGGACAATTATGTGTGGTGTAGAATAGTCAGGTCGGAGTAAGAGGTGGCTGAGGTTTGTGAGTGTCTGGGTAGGTCTGGGTTCTCCGAGGGTGTATTGGCAGAGGTGGTGATCCAGATTCTGCTCCAGGTGAGTGATTGTGCTGTAGTTCGGCGGCAGCCCTCACTGGCAATGGCGACGTAGTATTGAGCAGTGGAGGTACCTTGGTCCTGGATTCAACAATTGGCATTCACTGACAGGCTCAAAGGGTGTTGAAGCTTGACTGTGTTTAGGACAACTGTGTGAACCTGCATTTCCTGATAAGGATTCTACAGGAGGGCGTAAAGTCAAGACAGTTGAGTTTGGACAGAGATCAGAAATCAATGTGAGGTCAGAGAGAATCCCATTGAATCAATCGCGAACGTAGTAAGTGTGGTATGATTGGCGATGACAAGCCTTTTACGAAGTATAGTTTTAACCATGGCACCGCTTATCTCTTTAGGGCATGAAGTCGAAGCGAGATAAATGAAGCTCGGATAAACCCACTTTACGTATCTATGTCGCGTAGACCCCCCGAAAGCCGTCAAAATGATGACATCAGTCGCAGATAACTCAATGCCCGTATGTATGAATCGAGCCGTGGTTCTCGTCACTAATGAACTGTACGTCAGCTGACAGCGATGCAGCTTTGAGGGATTTGCCCTCAAGTTCCTTCGTTTAAGACAGTTCTTCAATACTGCTAGGTAATTAGGGCTTCATATTTGCACCAAAAATGCAGCCAAAGGGTTGATTCGGAGCCTCGTTGTGGCCTCTCTTTTGTGCTACGAGCGAGTCATCATGCATGTACATCGTAGACAGGATCCAGCCCTCAGGCAGTGATGTAATCCACTCGAAAAGAGCCGAAACTTTACCCAAACGCTATCGACGCCTTACCAACCAACGATAACACAAATCAAATGAATCCGAATCCCACATTTCGACACAGTTCCATCTAAGCATATAACCAACCCGCCCCTAAGGGAAAGAAATCACCGCTCTCCAAGCTTGTCCATCTCTTCCCCTCTCACCACTCCTTTACCCCCAAGAACCATCGACAACGCAAACCGAATTGCACCCGCGATCTCCCTCACATCCAGCATCGCCACCCAAGCCCGGACCCCCAGCGGTCCCCCACGATACCGCAGCTCCGTCACCGCCTCATACGCCGGATTCGAGCTCGCCTCAATCGTCGGCAACGTCTTGTGGATGACATACGGCCGGACGGAGTACGCGTAGTGGAAGAACAGGGCAAAGGGCACCATCTGGATGCAGATCACCATCGTCGGGATGCCAATGTTCACGTCCGCGTAGGTGAGCTGTGCGTTCGGCTTAAGGACGTCTGTCGCTCCGAGCGCGAAGAAAATGATCTGTTGCAGTGTCTGTCAGTCTCGCTTTACTTCCACCTTTAGAACAAACTACATGAGCGAAAGGGCCAGGCAGACGTACCCGTTCGAGGAATGACAAGCCGACAATCAGCTTGAAGGCTAGCAGCTTGGCGAGAGGCTGGTGGTTCTTCAACTGGACCTTGAAGCTCTTGTAAAACTTGAGCACCGAAAACACGGCCGATACGAGGGACAGGTTGAGGAAGATCGTGATCTGGATTGGATTAGGCTGACAATCACTGGCAACATGGAAGAGAAGCAAAGGGTGGGCGCGGGGACTTACCCATAAATGTGCAAAGTAGGGCTTGCTGCTTTCCATGCAGTAGACCCCGGCTGCTTGGGTGATGTCGGTTACGAGGGATGCCAGCAGCGCGACGGCCGGGTACTGAAAGATGGCGATCCATGTTTTCTGCCCTGTGTTAGCACCATAATATTCTGAGAGATGGAGAAAAGGACTTACTCGATACCAGCTCAGACTCTCGGCGGGAGACTCACTTCCACGGGGCGGAATGGCCAACGGCGCGACGAACATGTTTTCGCGGGAGATGGACGGCGCCAGAAACTCCAGCATCAGCAGGTAAAAAATCCCCAGCGCCACGGACTGAAACACGTCGAGCCAGGGCTCCAGATACACGTATACCTCGGGGAAGCAGATTCCCAGCAAGGAGAAGATTGAGTACAAAGGGAGCAGTGTGGAGATCCGCATGATCCTGTGATCTGTTAAAGCGCGGATTGTCAGGGTGGCAGCGGAGGACAACATACTTGAGCTGTTCCTTGGGCTTGCTGAGATGAGTTGCATGCAGAAACATTAATGTGAGAATCGTCAGACAAGTGAACGCCGTACAAGCCCCGGACAGGATCATGTTGAAGGTATGGAATGACATGTTGTGGAGGAATGGCTGGGAGGCCACTGTCATTCACAGTTAGTCCCGTCTTTTGGCACCAAATGGTGGGACTTGCCTTCTGAAAGCGACTCTGTGGGACATGTGTGATTCGCATGGCTGCTGCTGCTGCTGCTGTCGTGGTGAAATATACCCATTTTCAAGAAGTATTGATGTTCTAGAGCACGTTTTGACCACACAAGTACCGCTTCTGGGCTGCGATACAAGGCAATTGTTATGAGCAATGCCTCTCCACACATGCGCAGCAAGCCTTTATATCCTTCCTCCCAGCTGATCGTCGAAAAGGATTGACACAACAAACGTCGGTGTGGCCGTGAAGGCGTGCAATCAATCTACTCCATACTAGAGTCTTAGCATAGCCTGTCGTGGCGCTAGTCCATATGAGGCAAGCGAGGCGAGACGGGGGTTTATAGGAGGAGCACGTATAGATTCCTTCATCGCATCATTGGTTTCCAGCACAGCCGCAAACACGTATCTCCACTGTATCCCCACTGACACTAGGCAATTTGCGGCAGGAGGCGCGAGCATCAGTAGGAAAAATCATCTAAGCTTCAGCAGGAACTTACATAGGAAGACAATCGGGCCCCACCTCCACAGCCGTGCACACTTTACGAGGCTGTCAGCCGCAGGACGCAGCATCAATATCGCCGACACCCTTCTTCAGACACTCATAAACGAGAGTTCCCTACAGTTTGCAACTGCAGACCAGAACCTTAAGCGCATTCCTCCCACGTGGCAGTGTTTCATGCCCACGTCTCGGGGCTTTGTCCACATTCTGCATTCTGTATACTCTGCCCTCACTGACTGACTGAGCCATCACTACCCTCAGCTCGCCTTCAAGCAGAGCAACAAAGACCCCATGAGTCGCAGCCGTAGAAGTAGAGGCTGCCTTGCATGCCGTAAATCCAAGGTCAAGGTAACTCAGCATCACCCCCTTCATCCAATGCAACTACCCTAACAGACTATCAACTGCAGTGCAGCGAAGACCAACCGCAGTGCGCCCGATGTACTCGTCAGGACATCAACTGTCACTACCCCGACCCACTGGAGATCGATTTCCGCAACGAGAACACCAAGGCGGCCGTGCGAGCCGTCTCGCTGTGGCGCCAGAGGGCTGCGGCCGTCCCAAGTCCCCTCCAATCGCCAAGCCCTAGCCCCCCTGCCGACGATCTCCAGCATCACGCATTAGCCACCTTCTATCGGGACTTCGGATGCACGGTTGCCGTCTCCAATCCCTGGCTGGAATTCTTCCAGATGCTGCCCAAGCTCCACCGCCAACCAGCCGGCAACCCGGCCTCGGCGCAAGCCATTCGAGCGCTGGCCCTGGCCCACCACGCGCGCCAACAGCAACAACGGCAGCGGCAGATCCCGCAGCTGGAGATCCTCGCCCGTACCGAGTACTCCAAGGCCATCGGCCTCATCTGGTCGCAGCTGCAGACCCGCAACGGCGTCCCCGGCACGGATGTGATCGTCTCCGTCTCGCTGATGGGGCTCTTCGAGACCATCCTGCCCAGCAGCGCAAGTGAGGAGGGTGGTGGAGGCAAACCGCAGCAGCACCGATCCTGGCAGGCGCATCAACACGGGGCCATCTCGCTCATCCAGCAGCAGCAGCAGCAGCAAACACAATCTCGCGGGCCAAATGCAACAGAGGAGGAGACCATTGACCCACGATTGCTCAAGTTCATGTACTTGCTCATGATAGTCAACTGCCTGAACGCGCGCTCCCGACCCCAGCTCCCCTTGCACCTGTGGACAGGGGTTCTCGATCCACGCCTCCCTGCCGCCCGACTGTTCCGGACGATGTATCACCTCGCGCAGTGGCAGGCCGATCTGGACAGCTGGATGGACGCTCACGAGAAGCCCCGCAACCTCTCAAATCCCGCCATCCTCCACATCGAGGAGATGATCACCACGCTCATCCAAGCCGACCGCGAGCTCCAAGAATGGGAGTCCCACCTCCCGCCCGCATTCCACTTCTACGACCGCCCCGCCACCCCCCAAGACCACCGCCTCCTCCAGTGGCCCGGGGCGCCGCGGCGTGTCTACATCTACGAGTCCAGCTGGCGGGCGATCCCTCGGACCTTCGGGTTCGCGGTGCGGATCCTGCTGGCCCAGAATCTGCTCCGATGTCGGCGGTGGATTACGGCGCGAGATCCTGGCCAGTCTGGGGCATGGCTGCGAGACCAGCAGATGGGTGCTCTGAAGGTAGTCGAGGAGATGGTAGGCCATATATCCCGCAGTACTAATGCGATCGTGGGGCCGCCGGCTGCGGGGGGTGATGGGCTTGGTGGTGGTCGCGGAGCTGGGGAGGGGGAAGCGATGCGGGGGCTGGCGATAGTGTGGCCTCTCAGTGTAGTGGTGGGTGCGTTGCAGCGAAATCCGGGCGTGAGGGATCGAGTTGGCGAGGAGCGAGCGCGGTGGGTTGGGGATGCTCTACTGTATGTGCGGCGGTTGGTGGGAAGTCGCGAGAATGACGGATGACGCTGGACAAGAAGGGGTTTGTGCTGGACACGGACTTGGAGGGGAATAGAGGGGGCAGTCGGCTGGTATGTCTATGATCTCTGTCTCGATTTAGCATGCAAAAGAGGCCTTCCAAAAGAGAAACCAGTATGCAAAGGACGATATGCGCAATATATGTCGATGCAACGGCCTTCCAGACCTAGATCGCTTGATATTCACTCCGGAGGCGATGTGTTGTGTAGCACCTTGAGGAGTTGCATGCTCCTTTTAATGTGTGCCCTTCCTTGTGTGCACTGGATGCGTCCGACGAAAGAGGGCTTCGGATGGAGTCATCGGGGCAGGTCGATCACGTAGTCAGCTTCGAGGGCCAGATGCTGTCACGGTCAAGACCATCAGTACATCAATGGAATAACTCCCTAATTCGCTCCCTTTTGGATTGACCCGGCCGAAAGTTTGATTTTAACTGATGCTCACCTCCGGCGAATTCTTGATTCGACCACCGGTGTCCGAGCTCAGTTTGCCCAGCAATATCGTAGCCCTCTCCTGATGGGGAGTTGGTGCTAGGGAAGAGGCCGTCAGAGGAGTAGCGACTGACAGAAACCCGTGGGACTCAGGAACCGGTTGTTAACCGAATGTCAGAGGAGTAGCGACTGACAGAAACCCGTGGGACTCAGGAACCGGTTGTTAACCGAATGTGTCAACATGCATGGGGCGAGATGGCTGCTCAACATGAGCCAAGAAGCCTAGCATTGTGCACTGGACCTGTTGGTGAGTATCATCGAACGTGTCTAGATCACCCTTTCTTCAGTCCTGAATAGGATCGACACAAGTGAAGTAAATACCACGCAGATTTCGAGTGTGCCTAGATTGACTCGAGCCTGGAAGTCTCTCCCTTAGCTGTGCTCTCAAGACACTGGATCGTCTTGCTTGTCTCACCACTGGTTTCGGCCCGCGAAAATAGAGTCAAGGATAAGGCGCAGCGCAATCTGAGATCCAAAGGGTCAAGGAAGACAATCATGCGCTTGTTGGAGCAACACACACCACAACTGCATGTCTCGCTTTCCAGGGGTAAATCGCCTCTCGCAGTATTGTATGTACAGCACAAGTGGTCCCGCTGGGTAAGCTTGCGGTTAGTCGGGGTTTGCCGTCACCAGAGACCCGGATCGCAAGCAGTGTCGATTCTCCGTCAATGCAACGCGAGCATTACGCGTGAGAAGATCCTCCTCACCAACAAGGCTGACGGGCGAGATTGACAACACAGACACAACTCCAGCATGACTTGCGGAGCAATCACCCTTATTCTGCAGGATTGAAATTGGGCTTATGTCTCGGTCCGCTTCTTCGCAAAGGGTCAGAAGGGGCGTCGCTATTTTTGCGCCTGAATCAGGAGTCGGATGGTGCCAAGAGGGCCGGAGAAGGCAGGAGAGTAAGCGTATTATGGCTCAACCAAGCCGTGGGATTCCCTCAGCCACCCAACGCGGGGTAGTTGAGTTCTCAGCAGCTGGATGGCAGGGTGGGAGCTTCTGATGGGGGCCGTGTTGTGCTGACATGAACAGTATGTGGTGGTGTAGTTTTGGTAGTGTTGGGAGCGTCAATCTCTGAATGGCTGCAAAGACAGCGGTCGATCGCTGTTTGGATAAGGGGCGGAATGGGCAACTATTATCACCGATGCTAAAAATCAGGGAACCATGGGTTATGGAGATCAGAATAGTGCGGTTCACGCGAAAGGGGCGATCATAGGGGCAGATACTGTGCGGGCGGGACTGGAGAAAACCACCAACGGAGGTCGCATACCCTAATTAAATGCATACATGACATGACCGGGCGGGCCCTTGGACACAGCAAGAGACTCGAGGTCCTGCCAGGTTGGAATGAATCTGAAACCGAGAGCCCCGAGGTTCACCGAAGAAAGACACTTGAAACCGACCCCATCCTGCCCTACCGCATTGGACGGTGGTCGACCCACCCTGCTCTACTTGCTGAGTAGCTAGCCAACTTGGTCAGGGAAGTACGAAGACTCATGAGGTCATCGGGGCACTGGTGGTAGGCAGGCGGTAGGCAGGCTCCTGGTCTGCAACCTGGACCATACCTTGCCATAAGAGAAGTAGTTGGGGAGATGTATAGTGCAGGCACGAGAGTATATCTTGGAAGACCTTGAGACAAAGAGGGGGCTTTGTTGAGCTGACCTCGACGCTGAAGGCTCAGTCTGAAACGGGTGTCACTTCCGGCGACTAGTCCCGGTAGGGCTTAGTTTCACTCACCACCGACCCGGATCGCCCGTTTCAGCGCTTTGATTGGCTCCAGGGATCTGAACCGGCGTGATGGCCACGAACCAATGGCAACTCCAGATCGGCCTCGGTTGCATCCGTGCGGGTGGTCCGATTGGTGGTGCATGGTCTTGATTGGTGCTGACTGGGGCCTTTACTGACCAGAAAATCCCCGACATGAACATGTTCACCTCCCATTGGGAAAGCCCGTGATAGAGCGCTCGTTTTTGCAACCTAGTTCCTGCGTCTCCGGAGGAGGCCAACAGGCACATCCAACAGGCACATCCACCAGGCACGCACAGGGGCCGCAGGAACGAACTCCCTGGTGCCCACTGTGGCAGCGAATAGACTTTCCTGCTTGACTCGCTTCGTCCTGCAGCAATGGGCTTTTTTCTTCACAACAACGGGCGTATAAAGACCTCGTCCGCTACCCCTCGGATGCAGCTTCCTTCTCCTCATCATCCTCATTCCTTCATCAACTTGCAGTGCAAGCTTGCAGATTCTAGTCGTTCACGACATCGTCATTCCTTATTCGTTGCTTTTTGAGACTATTGACTAGTCTCATCACACTCCTTCGTTCACCCACACTCTCTCCATCCAATCCTTGCAGGATCCCGTCGTCGCTCCCTTTTTCGGTCTACCAATCTTCTAAACCCTATAACCAAAACAGGTACCACCACCATCACAATGCAGTTGAACAACTTCCTTCTTGCCGCCGCCACTCTGGTTGGCCTCTCCGCCGCCGTCCCCATGGGCAGTCGGACCAAGAACCTGGTCTCCCGCTCCGCCAGCGCCGTGGTCAGCGTCAGTAGCCTGGCCGTCACCACACTTAAGGATAACGATGGCAGCGGGACGGGACAGGATGTCTACACCTTCCACACCGGGGATGGCAGTGTCGCCGATGGCTGGCCCGCCCAGTCCAGCTGGGTCTCTTTCGACGACATGTGGAAGGCCAACAAGCCCACCATCATGGAGTCCTGCACTCAGTTCGACGTGCCCAACAACTCGGCCAACGAGACCCAGAACCTGTACGATTCGATCCAGCAGGTCGCCAAGGAGTCCCACCTCGACCACCGGTTCATCCTGGCCATCATCATGCAGGAATCGAAGGGCTGTGTCCGCGTGCACACCACCAACTACGGCGTCCGCAACCCGGGCCTCATGCAGGATCATGACGGCGCCGGCACTTGCAACGACAACGGGGTGGTTCAGAACCCGTGCCCGAAGAACGAGATCCTCCAGATGGTTCGCGATGGTGGTGAGTGCCCCTCAAACCCTAATCTTGTTCAGCGCAGACACTAACCCATCCCCTCACACAGCCATCGGAACCGCCGCCGGTGATGGACTCGCCAGTCTGATCAACCAGCAGGGCAAGACGGACGTCTCCGGCTTCTACCGCGCCGCCCGCCTGTACAACTCGGGCTCCATCTCCGACGCCTCCAACCTGAACGTCGGCGTCGGCACCGCCTGCTACGCCACCGATGTTGCCAACCGTCTGACCGGCTGGGTCAACGCCGCCTCCACGTGTACCCTGAGCGCATAGGCTCGTCCTCGCTCTTCTCGACGCGACTTTGGATGTCGTGAAACCCGCTTGTCGGCGGGATTAGGATGAAATAATGGTTAATTCCCGGTTTGCTATGCCTGGTTGGTTAGATATTTTTGATCGTTTTACTTTACCTTTCTTGCTCCACCAGCATTGGCGACCCTCGTCTTTAGGGCGGGGGTTCATGCTTGGTGATGAGTTTGGTACGATGTCTGCGATGTATTGTATACTGCGGCTAGAATCTACTTGTGCTTTGCTTGCTTGAATGGCTGGTTCGTGGTGTTCTGTAGGCAGTGCCGACACTGTCGATGCTGCGAGTAGTACCGTATGTGGATGGAACGGATTCGCCTAGACCTCGACGGGATGCCGTATATGTATACACCACAGGGTCTAGACTGGGTACCCGCTTTCATTTAGGTGTGTAGAGACCTAGGGCAACCCTTGTCTGCAGTCCCGTTCCTATCAGAGAACCGAGATCTCCTCACAATGCCAACCCTGGAAAGGTCTAGACTCTACTCGTAGTGCGTGTCCTCAAAGTGGTGCCCCAGGCATCAACCGGCATCTGTCGTGACCGGTATTTCCAGTCACGTGATTGGTCGGGGCGCTACCACCGGGTCATCGTGTCTGTGTTTACTCTGGGTACTGTGCTGGTGAGGATCGATAGAGCGAGAGAAGATGCACTGACAGATTCGGGTAGCATATACTAAAGTGATAACAAGCGTAGGAGGGCCAAGTTGAGCCGAGACGCAAATTGCTCGGAGTGGAGGGACGGACGGAACCAGATATATATGGTCGGCTTACGCGGAGCCAGGCTGGATACCAGAAAAAGATGCGACAACAGAGCAATCAAAAGGATCGAGTATTGCAACACATGAGCAACATATTGAAGAGCTGGTTATTAGCTCCGAGACACTGACTCTCAGGAATACACACAACAAGAGCAAAAGTAATATACTGAAAAGAAGGATACGATATATCACCAACAAAGAGCAAAAAGAAATCTCCCCGACTGGGAGTCGAACCCAGGTCTCCCGCGCTTGTTCCTGGAAGGGATTGACAAGCGGAAATCATGACCGTTAGACCATCGAGGAAGTAGATGAATTATTTGGCTTTATTTGCATATATGGCCTAAAGATAAACAGGGCTCCCGGCGACAGACTATCCGCGGTGGGTATAAGTATAGGCATTATTTTGCTACTTCCGGCCGATTCTTTTATCCCTAATTGATCCAGGGGGGCTTATTCTTATCCCACGACATCCCGATGCCAATGCTGTTGTAATGATTACTCTTAATGCCAACTACAGTCTACAAGTGAGAGATGGAGGTAAGATACGTAGATAACAGATTCGATCAACTATTAGCAAACATTATCGTAAGGAATGACATCCAGTGCTCAACAGAATACTTCCGAAGGAATGAAAGTGCAATCATCTTCTCAATCAACCAGCTCAAGAAGAAAAACACAAAACTAGCTCAAATCCACAAAGTCAATCGCTATACTAGAACTTGGACCGGTCACAAATTCTCGTCTCATCGCGTCGCGTCTCGCATCGTCTCAGCTCGTCTAGCGCACCTATTCACTCGATGGTGATCTTCTTGGAGGTGGGCTTGGCGGCCTTGGGCACGAAAATGGAGAGGATGCCATTCTTTAGGCTGGCCTTGACACTGTCCTGGTCGATGCGGGTGGGGAAGCTGAAGGTGCGGTGGAATTCGCCGACCGAGCGCTCGCTAACCCAGAAGTGCGGCTTGTTCTTGTGGTTCTTGCCGACCTGCTTGTCGCCAGCCTTGGTGACCTCAGTGCTTTCGGTGGCCTTCTCCTTCTCCTTGTTCTCCGGGGTGGTGGTCTCCTGCTGGCCTTCCTCGTTCCCGTCGAAGTTGTGGTACTCGCGCTCGGTGCGACCCTTGATCACGAGGGTCTGGGGGTCGGAGAACTCAATGTCGACGTCCTTCTGGGCGATGCCAGGTAGCTCGCCGTCGAGGTGGTAGCCCTCGGCGGTCTCGCGGACGTCAAAGCGAGGCGCGAAGGAGCGGGCGGTGGTGGAGGAGCTGGCGCCCTGGCCGGAGCGGTGGAGGTCATAGTCGTCCAGAAGACGGAAGAGCGGGCCGAATTCACCAGCGGAAGGGATGCTGCGGAAGAGAGACATGTTGATTGTGGTGGTTGGTAGGAGATGTAGAGAAGAGTTTGTAGAAGAGCGCGTTGTAGTGGTAGCAGTTGTAGAGGATTAGCGAAGTTGTTGTTCTCGCTGATTGCTTGTTTGATTCTGATCTGATGAAGACCAACTTGACCGGAGCTCGCGGGGCTCTTTATACCTTGTGCCAGTCATGACTGAGAATGTTGATGATGCAACAAGCGGGGATAGACGATTCATGGATGGTTCCAGGGATGATGGATCTAGGATTCTAGATGGCTCTGGAAGATGCCTGAGGCAGCTAGCGGGTGGCCTTGGAAGTTGCGAGAATCGGCCGGACCGGCCGAGTAGCTCCGCGATGCTTCTGGCCGATTCGACCCCGGCCACGTGACCCTCTTGTGATCTGCCGCTGGGCTACAGTACTGTAGTTACCTTCTACCTTTGAGCTCTACTGTGCAACAACAAACAAGTCTAAGTGATGTAATAGCATCACGCCATTCTATAACAGTGTCACTATTGGTATGGCTCTACTGCATCAGTTTCGCTGGGTAGTCAGTGTGATCGGCGCTTCACTGCGGAGGAAAGCCCGGATCGACAGCTCTAGAATGAACCCACCGGACCCCAGTCCTTGTCCGCCGCAGCCCTAAATCAAGAAGTTCCATAGACCTCGGAGAGCACAGACTGAGACCCCCCACTGGTCGCGTCAAATCAGTAGGGAAGGCTGTGCTATCCGGCAGCTCAGCCCAGCCAGCCATTACCCTTGAATCCTGGTTCCAGCGTCCATCGGTCTTATTGTTTGCTGCTTCGGTGGCAAATGATTCAACAGCATTGAGAATCTCACGGAACCAAGTTCAGCGGCTAGACCAATCCGTGGAATGGTACGACTCGGATCGAACCCCCTTGGTCAACCACGGAATCCAAAAGCAGGGCATCGGGGTTTGCTTGGGATAGTGGCTGGGACCACTGGATGAAAAAAGCAGCTTCGAGTGGTGTGCCATGACGTTGTGCGACTTGCCCGTAGTATAGATGCTGGGAGAAGCTTCGATGCGGGGTTCAAAGTCGAGTCTTCGACTGATGGCTCAAAGATGAGGTGATACTGGCACCTATTTCTATCGAAGATTGGTGGGGGTTGTTCAGCGTGACATGTGATACCTAAGAGGCAGCGTATTCACCAAAAGGTATTCTGTAGACATGGTCGAGCCTCCATGGTTGGTTTTCCTTTTGACCTGGAAGTGCGATTATACTTCCGCTCGAAGGGGTTCTGAGAAACGACACCAGCTTTTCTGCATGCGAGTCACGTTGAATGAATTGGTAAGAGTGGAAAAGCACAATCTATGACATGAAAGATCGTCGACAGGTTATGTTACAAGCAAGCTATGCTTATAAGTTTGTATCTTTGTTTGAGCCAGGAGAAGACTCTGGAGATGTTGAACGTCAGACCAAAGCGTCGATGGCTCTATAAGAGATAGATCGCTAGGAGATTTTACGGCATTGATCACTCAGTGTGGTCTTTCGTAGTGGTCCGAGCTTTCAAGAATTCTGGGCGTGTATGGTCTCGGACCTTGGGCCACCGTTCTCGCAGCATGTTTCTTCCCATTTAACCCCGTCAACGCCTTTTGCTCAACCTAAGAACGGAGGGCAACCTGTCATCTAATTGACCTGCAGCTTTCGACAGTACAGCCACCTAGACGCAGGCTCTTGGCGCTCTTGTCAAAGAGGTCCCAGGGAAAGACTCAAAGTTCGTCATCACGAAGCATTTGAGGCAGTGCTTCCGTGGTTATCAGCCTGTGAATCTGATCGACATACCATGTGGCTTCTGGACGTGATGCAGCCTGCTCATCACGGACCCTTGTCACCAATAGGGAGCAGCGCGGGGAAGTTGAAAAAGAGGCTGTGCTATGCCGACGCCCCTATGCCCGTTCTGCACCAAGACCAGCAAATGTCAGAGTAATCGGATTCTATACAGCCGTAGTCAATAAAACCAGGCACGAGATGTAGAATACGATTTGAATACGCATTGCGTAATGCTGACGAGGAGGCAGTGCCGGCTGGGCCAAGCACGCGGTGGCTATGCGGGCCGTGACATATACCCTACCCTACTTAGTATACTACGCGCTCTTATTCCCGCTGCCTGAGATTCAGCGCTGATCTGCCGAGAGAGATCGTGTCCACAGTGTCTATGTCTGCGGATTTTCTCTTCCCCCTGCTTTGTCAACAACCGTTGTCATCGGGCTTCATGCAAATTTCCCATTCCCATGACTCTTACCTGTCTTCTAGCGCTGGTGAGCATCGAGAATATGGATGCCTACTGCACATTATGCGCGAGCATTTTGCAAGCTTCCGCGCCCATCTTAGACGTGACTACATGGTTTGATTGTCATACCAAGATGCAGATATGAGGCGAGCTCCTACGGCAAAATTCGACAGTATATATACCTTGGAAGCGGGCATTCAGGCGTCCTGCAGAATGCTTCGGCGACACGGTCCAATTCTCCACATATTGGCTTGGTTTGGCTTTCTAGTATATACCCGCATGCTGTGCTACAGCTCCACTGGACTGGACAAATGTCGAAGTCACGAGAGACATCGGTGATTGTTCTCACCCTCTTCGTCGCCCTATCAACATGCGTCGCAGCCGAGCCGCAACGGTTCAGCTCGTGGTGGCCGAGGTACCGGAACGCAATCAACACGATCAAAACCACGAATTGCTCCGCGCAATACGACGCATACCTGACCGGAGACCAACCGGTCGGAAACCTGACCGCGAATGACCCCGAGCTGGCGATCTGGCATGTCGACAGTGCAGTGACCCCGTTGACCAACTGCCTGCTGCGGGCCACGCCAGAGCTCTACAAATCGATGATGGCCAGTGCACAGGTGGTGCTGGGTCTGATGCCCACGCTGCTGGCCAGCATCAGCCCCAGCGCCCACGAGACGGCCATGCTCTTCGTCTTCGGCAACCGGCAGCTCCTCTCGTTTCTCCTCATGGTCGCCTCACCCGCCAGCGCGGTGGACGCCTCCGGGAACCTCTACCAGCACGTCCAAGATCTGAAAGGCTCCCACGAGTGGCTCTCCGCCGACTCCTCTTCCCTGTTGCTGCACCACAACCTCGCCATCGTGGTGCTGGAGTTCCTCCTCGCTGCTGTAGCTGCGGGAAACGTGCTGGTCCTCGTCTACGAGATTTGCATGCGCGTCATCTTCTCCTTCGCCCAGCAGTTACAATGGATGCCCGGACTGTGGGTTGCCGTGGGCGTGACCACCCACCTCTTGATGACCGTCGCGCTCCGCACGCGTGTACATATTCGCGACTGTCGGACGAATAATGCCAGTCTCCTCACTCGAATGCTTCGGTGGGTGCGAGCGCAGTTCACCGCGTCGGATGGTAGCAGCGAGACGACTGAAGTCCAGCTGCGGGATCGCACGGTGGGCAATGTGTTGATTTCCTGGTTGACGGGGCTACTCGCCGCGGCCAACACGCTTCTAGGGATTCTGCAGTTCTCGAGCCTGCTCTTCATCTCCCCGAATGACGCTCTCTTTATCGTGGTGCGGTTCGTAGCCTCGGCGGTGGTGTGCCGGATCCTGGTCAAGTATGAGTTGTGGCTTGTGCGACAACAGGTGAAAGTGGGTGGTGATGATGGTGAACAGGCGAGAGGGGATGCTTCGATGGGCTAGTACTTCTCTATCTTGGTGTACTGTACCCTATTTCGAGTTTCTCCCCGTACTTAATGTTTAGTGTTTTACTCGCAATCCTGCGAGCCTGGGAGGATTGGCTTTAGAGGCGGAGGCCATAGCGCAATCGCCACCTCGTATTGCTCTTTGTCCATCATCGAGCCTGTATTCCCCGTGTCCGTGAGGAAGGCTGTGCAGCGGAAATCGGCCCGGGCCTTGCCCTGAGCTGCCACCATGTAAGCTTTGCGCAAACTGATGCACGCACAAGATATGATTGTGCTTTGAAGTTGACAAAGGCTCTCCGTGAAATTACGACATGGGTTCGTAGGGGGCCGCCAAATACTCAACACGAAAATCTAACGCCAAGAGTAGTTGATGATTGATAAAGTCTGTATCCGCCCGCATTTCCCGCCCTCGGATATGCCAGCCGGATGCCCGACGGACTTTGCTTAATTTCGGCCAGCCAAGACTTAGTCGGACTATCATGCACAAGATCCTACTATCGTGGGAAAACTATCTCTTTAGTCTAGCTACAAATTTAAAAGACTCCTGAGTCCTTCGATGACTCGCGTCTTCCACGATAAGCACGACGTCAAGGCGGGGACCGAAAGCAGTCTAGCCTCAGCTTCCTTCGCCAACCCTATAAAGTGACTCACAGCACCACCCATTTGCAAACTCACGAGAATTAACCTGACTCCTTCACTATCTCTTTCTCCCTCGATCCTCTCGCGAAGCGGGCAAAAACAAAATAGAAAATGTCCTACCTCCAATCCGCCCGCCTCACCTACCGCGCCCTGGAAGACACCCCGGACGATGAAGACTTCCTGCACGCGATCCAATCCGACCCAGAAGCCTACGCCAACTCGACTCCGGCCTTACCCAAGCCCCAAGCCAAGCGTGACACCGTCAATGGGTACAAGAAATCCCTGATGGAGCGGGCGCTGCTGGCGGCGATCATCGTGCTGCCGCATGCCCCACCGAGTGCCGAACCCCCTAGCTCGAATTCGGCAGAAGATAGTCAGAAGACACAGACCCAGACGACAACCCCCGGCACCCCGATCGGAGTGATCTCCCTCCGCCGCGAAGGCGGGGACTACGCCCACCACCGCGGCACCTCCATCACCATCGATATCGCCCGCCCGTACCGCGGCCAGGGGTACGGCAGCGAGGCGATCAATTGGGTGCTGCACTGGGCATTCCGGCGCGCGGGGCTGCATCGCGTGGAGATTCAGGCTCTCGCGTACAACGAAGGGGCGGTGCGGTTGTATGAGCGGTTGGGGTTCACGCTCGAGGGGCGCCGGCGGGAGGCGTTCTGGCACGATGGGAAGTGGTATGATGATGTGGTGTTTGGGATGTTGGAGCGGGAGTGGGAGGAGCGGCAGGCACGGGTGCAGTCGGCGTAGACGGAGAGATGATGAGCGGAAGGCCTATGATGGAAAGGGGATTATAGAACTCTGTGGTTGGATTCAGCCCCGTGATGCTTCCGATCGGGGTTCCCTTTCCTCGAGAATCATGAATGTATATACGCATTGGAGACACGAAAGCGCCCAAAATTCACGTCCCAGTCAAGGGCTGCTTGTATACCACCCCGTCCACCGTCGTGACGAGGGTCCCGTTGGCCACGAAAACATTGAGCATGGCATCATCGACGACGTGAAACCCACCGGGTCCAGTGACCTTGGTGCTGTACGAGGCCCCCGTGGCCGTCAGGTTAGAATACCAATCCAGCCGGGCCGATGTGACGGACAAAGGCGTGGAGGCCACCGACTCGTGGCCCTGGATATAATGCACGCCGTCGTCGGAGTAATTGTGATACCTCACTGCCACAAAGTCAAGGGCTGACGCAGTCTTAGTGTTGCGAAGAACCACGTCCGCCGAGCCCGAGACTTGCCCGTGTAGCGTATAGTTGCCCGGGGGTAGATTGAAGACTTCCGGCACGCTCTCTTCGGGGATATAAGGAACCCCCCAAGGAATTCGGTCTGACACTGGCGCCACAAGTCCGAGATGGTAGGTCTGGCGACTGGTGAGTCGCGCCATCATGAGACGTGAGGTCCGGCCTCCCGGCTCCGTCGACGTGGGACATGGCAAGGGATTGTTCCCTCCGCAGGCAGGGGGCACGACCATCTTCTGCCAGTACATGATACGCGTGCCGTCCGGAGACCAGCGGGGATCAGCACCGGCGTTCCAGTTGGGGTCGTTGATGCTGCCTGGCTGGCCATCCCCGTCAGCGTTGATCTGTTGGCCGTAGTAATTGTAGTCAGGACCATCGCGGTCTCCGTGGGCGTCCAACAGCCATGGCTGGAAGAAGCGTCGATCGCCATTGTTGCGCACCGATGCGACCGTGGTAACCGTCAGTAGGTCCACCACCGGAGGGACCCCGCGCATGGCAGACAGAAACTCCATGCGATCTGTGCCACGCGTGTCCAGGATAACCTGCCAGCGGCCATCCGGAGAGACCCCCACCGGGTCCACATAGCCCGGATGCGTTGTCACTCGGCGCACCTCGCCGGTAGTCAAGTCGGCTGCGAAGAGATCGATGTTGCAGGATTCCCAGGGGACTCCAATGTACAGGACCTCTTGTCCACGACTGGCAAAGCCTCGAAACTCCCCCACCACTAATGCCTGGCGATTGATCTGCATCTGATCCCCGGTGACGGTATAAGGGCGTGGACCGTCCGGGGCAACCAGGACGGTCACGTTCACGAGGTCATATCGCGCGGTGCGAGGGCAGCCCGTGGCAGGGGAGTCGTTGAACTGCAGTCGACCGAAGTAGGTGTGTTGACTGAGTTGTCCCGATGCGGTGACGGAGAAGGAGTTGAAGCCCAAGTGGACATTGTCGGGGTGCAAGCGCAGCTCACGAATAATGGCCCCGGACCCGGAATCGTCGGCCGTGTTGCTTAACCGGATGGGATAGATGTGAATCTGGTCCAGAGTGCATGCCGCACTGGCGAGAAGGCCCGCTCGACACTCGACGATATTGTTCCCGGCTAGGGCTCGTTGGCCGTCGGCGAAGGCTTGCGGATAGTCGGCCAGCGACGAACTGCCCCCTCTGTGGCTCTCTGGCACACCGCACGTCAGGCATTTCCACGGGCTCCCCGTCGAGAAGTTGGTCCCATTGGTCCGGACCAGGATCAGTTGGACGCCAGTGTAGATACTGGCGGGGTCTGGGGCTGACGGTGCCCCGGTGAAGTTCAAGCTGACGAGGACGTGGTTCCCATCCGGCGAGAAGTCCCCGCCGTTCATCAGGGATGATTTGCCCATGCATCCTGTCCCGTGCGGATTCAGGTGTTGAGTACAGGCCCCAATCTCGTCGGTTGGCGCCACGGGTGGCAGTGGTAGTTGAATGACTTCGATGGGTTCTGGTGGGGGTGGTTCGAAGCAGGTGTCTGCCTGTGTGATGATGGATGCGACAGATGCACCAGATGCGACACCGGATGAGATCAATCCCAATGAGATGGGAATAAATCCTCCAACAACCATGAGACGCATGCTTCTAGCTGGGAGGGTGGGACTGAGGGTGGGGTGAAGGAGATTGGAGATGAGATTCCAGGCATATCGTCCACATATAAACCCTAGCAAGTAACTTGGAAGTAACCAGAATTGCCGCATCGGGAAATCAATGCAATGCGCGTATGCACAGACCACTTTTCATCTCCGTCATCGGATTCTATCCAATCGATGAAAATGCATAGATATTAGGTAAGATAAGAATAAACACAAATTATAGCAATTACTAAGACAATAGGGCGAAACGCAATACGCGCTTGCACAGACCATCACTATTGATCTACAGTACGTACTGGCTTGTTGCTCTATACGCGTTTATACCTCGCAGTCACAGTGGAAGCTCCTACCACATTTCCACACGTTCACCATGCAGGATGAGTTCAAGATTAGTTAAATTCAGTCAAAAGCATGGGCTTCTTCTCATGTCCAGAGATCCAACACATTCTGAACTTGTCGAGCCTAATCCATGCTTGATGGCTAAGCTCGAGCCCTACAAACATGGGTACTACCTCTGGCAATATCTGCCTTCGCTGGCTGCCGCCGTAATATTCGCCATCGTTTTCGCGGCCGCGACAGTGCTACACTTTATCAAATTGGTCAAATGGCGGGCTCGCTTCTGCGTCCCCTTTGCAATTGGAGGGATATGTGTGTGGACCCCTGTCCTAATTCTTCTTGTCCTTTCGCCCCATTGCTATTGCCGGGTGTTGAGGGCCAAGGCTGACTGGCGGGCTTTCTAGTCGAAGTCATCGGCTGCGCTGCCCGGGCTTGGGCGCACTTCAAGTCCGGCAGTATCATGCCTTACTCCATGCAGAACGTCTTCCTTCTACTCGGACCGGTATTGTTTGCCGCCTCGGTATACATGGTGCTGGGCCGCATCATCCGCAGCACCGGGGCCGAGCATTACTCCCTGATCCCCATGCGCTGGCTCACCAGGACTTTCGTGTTGGGCGATGTGGTCTCCTTCCTCGTTCAGGGGGGCGCCGCGGGGTTGATGGCCTCCGGGAGCAATGCACAACTCGGCCAAGACATCGTGGTGACGGGCCTGCTCATCCAGGTCTTCATGTTTGCCTTTTTCGTCATCACGGCCATGGTGTTTCAAATCCGCCTACGGCGACATCCGACCCCCGGAGCCCACGATCCCCGCCTCCACTGGCGAAATCACCTTCATCTCTTGTATGGGGTGAGCCTGCTGATCATGATCCGCTCCTTGTTTCGGGTGGCCGAATTCACGATGGGAGATACGGGATATCCCCTCACCCACGAGTGGACCCTCTACACTCTTGACGCCCTTCTGATGTGGCTGGCCATGGTTGCTTGGCTGGTTTGGTATCCGGGGAGACTTTCCAAGCCAGAAATGGCAATGGAGCTGTTGAATCAGAGCACCGTTGATGATAATTAGGGGTTACGAGTGGATCCTTAGATTTCTGCCTGAAAAGAGGGTTACTGGAGTGTATGCGTGTTCTGTTCTGTAATATTAGTCAGGGCCCCGCCGTCTCTTGCTGGACAAATCCCGTATCCTGGGGACCTTTTCTACGTATGAAGTGCACGAGTCTCTTGATTGCAACGCCGACGGCTTTACTTCTTTCTGTTATGGCACGCAGGAAGCACAAAAAATCACGACTAGGCTGCTTAGAGTGCAAACGTCGACGTATAAAGGTACTGAACCTTCACCCCCTTTCCCACATGATCAGTTCACTGTTCAGCTCTGGACTGGCGCTGAATCGTCTGAAAGTGCGACGAAAGACGGCCAATATGCTCGCAGTGCACCATTTCAGAACGCACCTGCGGATTTGCTGAGCCGTATACCCTTTCTTTCAGGCCAGCCATTCCTAGAAAGCAAACCCCTTCTATCTCAGTATCCTCAGCAGAAGAGGCATCGCCGACGAGCTTCACCAGCGTGGAATCGCCTGACGAACCACCCGTCAACATGCTTCATGCTGAGCTGCTTTGCCACCTGTTCACCGAGACTCTTCCGTCTGTTTGTGACAACAGCAGTCATCAAATGATGTGGTCCTCACCGGAGATCCTCCAGTGCTGCTTCAAAGTCCCATACCTCGCAAATGAGCTCTTAGCCCTCGCAGCCACGCACATCAGTATCATCCGCCCTGCCCAGCGGGAGCTTTACCGGGATCATGCCACTCAGTTGCAGATCCATGCCTTGCGAACATTCTACAGCGCAGCCGACCCGGACATCACGCCTCGCTTCCTCTTTTCCTCCATTCTCAGCTTGCATACACTATGCGTAACCCTGCTCTTCCGCGACACCAACTTCGATGTCTTTCTCGATTCATTCGTTCATTATCTCCGTTTGCATCGCGGTGTACGCACTGTCCTCGGAGGCAGGTGGCGCACTTTGAAAGAGACGACAGCCCTGGGGCCGGTACTGGGCGCCGCGGAGTCTCAACTGCAGTCGGAGGGGAGTCTTGACCCTGCGTGCAGTCGCCTGCTGACACTCGTCCAACAGGCCAAGCTGGGTCCCTCCGTCACCGCAACTTACCAAGATGCAATCGAAGGGCTACAGTTGGCGATGACCTCGGCCGCCTCTCCCGGAGCGTGGGACGACTGCACTCCGGCGGTTCTTGCGTGGCCGGCAAGTGTTCCCTTGGAGTACATCGATCTTCTCGCGCGCCGGAGCCCCGATGCTCTTGCGGTGCTGGCGCATTACGGCACTGTCCTGCATGCACATCGCCATTGCTGGTTCCTGGGCGACGGCGGACGGTATCTGATAGAATCCATTCGTGAGTCCCTTGGACCTGAGTGGGCGGAGTGGATGGCTTTTCCCGGTCAGACTTTGGAGTCTATAGTTACGCTTGATCCACTTGACGGGGCTGTAACTGGTCAAGATGAAGGGTATACTGGCTTGGGCGCTTGTGCTCGCTAGATACAATTCGAAGATGGAACCAACATTGTATAGGAATAATTGTGGAACTTGGATCCCTGCACCAATAGACGATCAGATTATGATTAGCGTCAGTTGTATCCCTGGTCTAATCCCCAAAACTATAAGACTAATTTTTTTCGCCACTTGAGGGGGGGGGGCATTTCCATGGATTTCACCGTAGTTGCGGATACGCGTATGCACAGGCCATTCACTCCCTCACTCCACACCCTCTTTTAGGGCTTGTTTGCATGGGCCAACCTAGCCCGATTTCTTTCTCAATCATAACTCCTTCAAACAATATCTTACCTTCTACTTATTTTTAGGCCCTAGCCCCTTCGACTCCCCTCTCAGACCTCATTACTAATGCGGCCGCGCAAGGCTCACACCAAATCCCGCACCGGCTGTGTTGAATGCAGGCGACGTCACATCAAGGTAACACACTCCACTCGACACCACACAACCAGGAAATCTAACATCAGAAGTGCGATGAAAGCCGCCCGCAGTGTAAGAGATGCCGGAACTCGGCACGGGAATGCGCTTTTACCACCGGAGAGCTCAAGATCCAACTCTCATCCTATTCACCACACACCTGGGGACGGAATGGGAGGCGTGGCTTGCGTGGCCGCAGGCCTCTATATCAATTCTATTCTGCTCTGCGCATCAAGCCACACGCCGGTATTCCGTCCCGGTAAACCCCGCACCCGCGATATCGCTCGACAGCTCGGATCACTTTCAAGACTGCAAGAATAGTGAGTGTAAGGAGATGAATGTCTATATATTAAAGACAGTCAAGTCTATGTGAAAGGTGTCTTTTGACTCCTCTAACATCTGCTCTTCCTCCATTGCTACTGAACGATGCAGCAGATCCGCAGTGGTCCGTGCATACGCGAGGAAGCCGAGCCCTACTCGGGCTAGGACAGAGCGTATGCATGGGCCATGTTCGTTATCCACCAATCGTAGCTACAGAAGTCACTCCTAAACATTTGCTATTCAATGCTGTGTCTGGGACCTTTGACCCTTTACCAAGTGATTTCAGATAGCCCTGTGGTGCCTCGATCCGTAGTTCTCACGTTCGAAGAGCTACATGGTTAGCGAGGAGACTCTATACCACCATCTACCCGTACGGAATTTTGGCCACTTGGGCATATTTGTATACTGGGAGTCTCATCCTTAATTGAGGTTGCACAGGGTCTTCAAGCAGCTACAGTGTCGGGCTCGATGTCCGAGATCGGCGTTAATTTACCGGCAGCGCCACACGCCACAGCCGAGGGGCTGACGCGTCCAGGAAAGGATCGACGCGGTCCGTCAGGGGTTGCGCTGCCGGGTGCAATGATTGAAATTCTCGTTGGGTCAGTGAAACGTGGCCGAAGTCGTCATTCTCTGCTTGGATTGTGTAAGCACAATGGTCGACATGGAGTCTGAAAAACGCCCTCACCATAGCATTGTGTTGGTGCCTGAGCCCAGCCACAGCCCCCAGGATCCACTGGTAAGTGAGACATGGGTCCTAGAAACCCCCTAGTCGCTGACAAGTGACGACCCTGAACTAAGTTGACGATTGTCTTACCCCAGAATTGGCCTCATCGCCGCAAGTACCGGATTCTGGCTGTGCTCTGTCTGGCTTCATTCTCGGGTGCCATTGCCCCGTTGTCTGGTCAGTTGAATCTAGTCCAACAGGCTCAGATCTATGGCAAGACCAAAGTTCAAGAGTCGTATGCGGTGCGTTCCTCTTTTCAAGATCGCAAGATGTAGTGTCTGTTCTAATCAACCCCGCAGAACTCGGCAGCCCTGGCCGGGATGGCCTTTGGGCCCTTCTTCGTGGCCCCCTTCGCCCACCGTCTCGGCCGCAGCTCCGTGATCTTCTGGAGCATTGTATGCACCCTGGTCTGCCAGATCTGGGCCGCCGTCATGACCCACTCGGACGAGTACATCGCGTACGTGATGTCGCGAATGTTCTCCGGGTTCTTCGGGGCGGTGCCCACCGTGATCGGACCGCGGATGATCACCGACCTACTGTTCCTGCACCAGCGCGGACGCGCCTTCACAGCCTTGCACATGGCCTTTCTCTTCGGTACCATCGCGGGGCCAACCTTCTCGGCCTTCATCTCGGCCGGGACCTTCTTCCCCGTCGAATTCTGGTGGACAGTGGGCCTCCTGGGCGCCACCGCCATCCTCATCCTGCTCTTCCTCGAAGAAACCGGCTACGACCGCGAGCATCCCGAACGCAATCGCATACCCCCAGCCAGCTGGCTCGCCAACCGCCGAGCGACCTTCCTCTTCGGCCAGGCCCTCATCGTACCCACGCCGTGGTCGACCACCGCCAAGATCGCCGTGGCCCCCGTGCTCATCGGCCTCTGCCCCATCACCCTGATCATGGGCACCTTCACCCTGATCTCCTTCGGCTTCTACGTCGGCATGAACGCCCTGGTGCCCGTGTGGTTGCAGCGCTCCCCGGAAGAGGGGGGATACGGCTTCACCCTCCGCCAGAACGCCGCGTTCACCTTCTGCCACTGGATCGGGATTCTGCTCGTGCAGCTCGGGGGCCACCACTACGCCGACCGGCTGCCCCTGCTGCTGGCGCGCCGGCGGTCTCCCCAGGGCATCTGGAAGCCTGAGTACCGGCTGCACGTCCTCTGGCTCCCCAGTCTGGTCCTCAACCCGATTGGGCTGGGCCTTTTCGGCGCCACGCTGCAGTACCACCTGCATTACATGGTGCTGGCGTTGGCAGTGTTCATCGTGACGGTGGGTTCGCTGGCGAGTGTGCCAGTCACGGTGAATTACGTCGTGGAGTGCTTCACGCGGTACCCGGCCGAGGCCGGGATTGTGGTGGGCGCGTATCGGATCGTGTATGGGCTGACGATCAGCTTCTACATTGATCCGTGGGTGGAGGCGGTGGGCGTGGGCTGGGTGTATGGGATGATGGCCTTCTTTGCGGTCTTTTCTTTTCTGTTCGTCGGGCTGTTGATGTGGAAGGGGGATGTGATTCGTCGGTGGCAGATTGCGAGTGTGGCGAGTAGTGAGGAGGGGATGCTGTTAGGTGGGGAGGGGAGAGGAGGTGAGAAGGAGGATGCCTGAGGTGGAATCTACGTTTTAGCTTAAAGGGTCTTGAAGAAAAGGCAATTTCATTGAGGCGTCAACAGACAAGATATGTGCTAGTTAGGGAGTCAAGTAGCAAATTTGTACTGAGCGAACCTTGTTCCGACCCTCTCGACCATGAAACTCCACCAATACTGCAGATTCACTTGTCTGCTTCGTCCATCACAGGCAGTCGCTGGGTGCTCAGCTCTCCATTTATACCTCCAGCGAGGAACCGAACGAGGAGATTCCAGAGGTCGTTGGAACCCTCCGAGTATGGCATCAGGTCCGATTTCGAGACGCGAAGACAACGTCCGTCGTGGATGGCGATCAGGATCCTCACACTGGTTCCGATGAATGAGAAGAGCATGGTCTGAAGGTAAAAGGCAAGAAAGGTCAGCTGCGACTCGGAAACATATGCAAGGGGTGCAAAAGCTGCACAGAAAAGAGTCATGTGAACCCACAGGCACAACGACATGTTCTGTCAGGATGTCCATGCCCAGCCGCGAGTGCATCGTGGCAGCGAGGATCATCAGCTCTGCTTTCAAGAGTCTCTCTGGGTGTACGACATCATCGTGGTAGATAGCCACTTTGATGTGAGGGAAGGTTGGGCTATTAGAGCAAGCCCAGAATGTGTCTGTTCCCCAGTTGTACCTCTCTGAGCTCCCGGAGGCCGCGCGATCAAAGGCCAGTTCGAGGTGGAAGTTACTGACCGCGAGGGAAGTAGCACTTCTAGTCAGGATAGATGCTTGCATGGGGGTTGAGACTTACATATTCCAGCGCCATCCAGTGACCATACTCAGCCTGGACCATGAGCCCGGCGGGAAGTTCAGCCTTGGGGCTCCCATCACACTTGCCAGGTGATGGGCAAGGATTTGAGCTTTTCCGTACGACGGTATCGGCATTTGCTGGCGTGTGCTGCGACTGTAACCGGGCCTGAGGAGGCGTGCAGTGCTTTCCACCTGCTCGCAAGTTTCAGACCTGGACAAATCTAGAGGATGCTGCTGGATGTACTCTTCCGACAGCGGGACGAAGTAAGAGGTTGGATTGAGTGCTGGAGGACTGTCGATAGTCGTAATTCCGGTGATGTCCCAGGGGAAAATCTCGATTTTGAGTGAGTCCGACTCTTCGAGCTCGGGAGAAATCGACCCAGCTGGCAAGAAGCTCGTGATACTGTAGATGTCCCACAGATTAGACAAGATCGCCTGGCCCTGCGAATGTGAGTCACCACTACCACCATCAGCATCAGCACGAGCAGCCCCAGCAACAGCACGGAGAAGGCGATGCGGCAGGTGTGCGACACCATGGAGAGTTCTGCGCGCGAATAACATGGCCAGAATTAGAGGCGCTGTGTGAGGGCGAATGTGGGAAAGAAGGAGAAAGACGTGGTGGAGACTTTCTGTTCCAGTTCGACCTCACTATTGAGTTGATGCTATGTCCGGCCGCGGGAAACCTCACCGTCACGTCACCTGACTCATAGCAAATGCCCTCGCTACCACTTCGCCAGTTATGGAACTTATGGAACAGTTTACGCCCCGTTTAACTTTGCTGACTTTGAATTTAGCAAGATTCTTATTGCCGAAGATGCCGCCCAAGTGTGGGTTATCTGCGCCAAACCAAGCCCCGCATATGCGGCTTACCTGGCCCAGGGCACGGACGACAAGAACCCCTTCATAGAGATGAAGTCCTACGGCCCGTATTATTTGAATAATAGCATTGAAACGAGAGACCTGTGCGTTGTCGTGGTAGCCATTATGCTGCGCTTTTTCTACTCATTGCAGGTGCACTGAATGCTGGTTCGTCTGTCTCGTTTCAGAGCATGAAAATTGCGTTGTTCTTTGCGTCATTTATGGAGAGATATGTGCATGTCTAGGAATCGTCTTCATCATAGTGTCGATAGAAGTACTGAACAAATGAATTTCGAAAAGGGTTCTATTCTGCAAAGCTAACAAACATAATTATACACACGGCAGACCGAGATATCTACTCAAGATACTCGTTCGGCATATACAGCGGCATCGAATCCTCCCAAATCGTATCCGTGACGAGGGTCTTGTTCGATCCGTCGTAGTTCATGACCATGATCTGACCGTAGGGCTGGAAGGTGTCGTCGAACAGGGCACTCTCGTCCTTGAAGCCGTACATACCGGTACTCCACATGATGCGACCATCCTGGGACCAGGCGGCACTATCCCTGGGTTAGTAACTATCCGGGAGGGTTGACGGGACGGATAGGGCAAGACTTACTGAGCATCGTTTGACAGACTGTCCGTCACGCGGGTGAGCTCGGAGCCATCCGGCCGGATGGTGTAGATATCAAAGCGATCGGCGTACCAGCGCGCGCCATAGGAACTCGTCCAGTTGTTGTTGCGGGTGAAGACAATGCGCTCGCCATCCGGGGACCAGCCGGGGGTGTTGTCCCAGCCCAAAGTCAGCTGGCGGGTCTCGCCGGTGGTGAAGTTGAGGATGTGCAGACCCTCGGGGGCGGCGGTTTCGAGGCTCCACTTGCGGTAGACCATGGCCGATCCATCGGGGGACCAGGAGGGAAAGCCTGCGTTGAAGGTGCCGTCGGTCAGGTTGGTGTGGGAAGTGCCATTGGTGAAGGTACGGAACAAAGTCGCATTGTTGGTCGCCCGCGAGGTGAACCAGGCGCCGAAGCCGACAACGAGCTCATCGCCGTCGGGACTCCAGGAGGGCTGGA